GAATGATACCTGCAATGAAATTGTAAAATGAAGCGTATAGAGACGTTTGCGATACAGTACCTTGTGTCAACAAAATATAAAATTGCTGGATGGATTGTTTTTAGCGCAAAGAAGCATTGCATCCTTCCATTTTTCGGTTTTCGATCCACAGAGGAAAAAGTTTGGACTCCCAAGTACTAGAGGACGGATTACTTTTTAAATCCAAACACGGAAGCCTCCAGCTTGCGAGCGTTCTCTGTGGCGCCCCAACAGACTCCTTCTCTGGTTTCAGCTGGGCCGGTTCCAGCATTTCCAGCTCTCCCTCCACCAGAGAGCGGCGTTGGGGGGCGTTGAAGCGCGCTGTCGCCTCCAGAAGGACCTTGTGCATTTCGCACTTCTGATGGCAGACGTCCAGGACAGAGGCAAAAGTGCGACTGGTCACTCTCTCAAAAGGCAACACGCAACCTGAGGGAGTGAAACCAAGTGAGAAATAGCATGAGAAGAGAAATGATTTCAATTGGCACGAAGACAGAATACAGCAATGTTTTTGTGACACATACTGTTCTCTTACCTGCACATCTTTCATTGTAGCCGGATTCTTCCTCGTGCCTTTTCTCCACAAACATGTCACTGTCCTGCAACTCTGAACATCACGAAATGGCATTTAAAACAGGAAAACCAACACATCTACTTGAGACGCATATGCATTTCATTCTACACGGCTTACTTTCTCCATCACTGCATTTAATCGCCCCTCGTACTTGGTGGTCTTGCTCTGGAGAGTTCTTTGGGGGACTGGAAAAAAATGGGTACCCATGCGTTAGCATTTGATATGAACCCTTTCAGGGACAGCGGTTACTACAGTGGACAGCTTATCATGTTCTCAGGTTACAGGGTGCATGAAAGAGTTAAGGACTTCATACAGGGAAAAAATTTGCATAATTGTTTTTGTTTTGGATATACTTGGATTGTATGTACTTTTTAATTTGATTTACTTATGCTGGGCAGTAATGGCTAGAGCAAAACTGCCACTTTAGGGGTTGAAATCCAGGCCCTGGTCCTCCTGTGGGGAGTTTGCTCTCCACCGTGGGTTTTCTCTGGGTCCAAAACCATGTATGTTGGTTTATAATCTAAATTATCCTTGGCTGGTTGAATGTTATGGCCAAGAAGTATTTTACATATAAATAACACCGGGGGACACAATTTGTGTTGCATTAGGTCTGACAGCTGTTTTTAACTCATTTTTGGAATCCAAAACTGGTCTCAGTTTTTCTCTACTACGTCAAGTTTTTGAGTTATAGGATCCCCGTTCTGTGTACAGTGTGCAGGTAAATAAAACAATAAAATGGAATAGTTCTTAGGTTTGAAAACTTTAAAAAATATTCACAAAAAGTTGCCACATGGCTGCAGATGAGTCCAATCGTGATCAGCCCTTCTCACTACAGTGGAATTTTGCTTTCTGTGTGGAGTTTGCATGTTCTCCCCAGCCCTGTGTGGGTTTTCTCTAGGTACTCCGGTTTCCTCCCACGTTCCAAAAACATGCATTGTAGGTTGATTGAAAAGTCTAAATTGTCCCGAGGTGTGATTGTGATTGTGAATGGTTGTTTTGTCTATGTGTGCCCTCCGATTGGCTTGCAACCAGTTCAGGGTGTACCACGTCTACTGCCCGAAGACAACTGGGATGGGCTCCAGCATGCCCGCGATCCCAGTGAGGATAAGCGGATCAGATAGATGGTGGATGGATGGATAATGTTACTACTCTGTTAGTAATTGTGATAGTGTACGGCGTGGTAAGCCATGTGAATTTGAAATTTCGGCATAAACTCAGGACCCCCTGTAAAGTGTAAAGGACACATTCCAACCTGTCTACTGTAGATGCATCTTGGCCTCCCTCTAGTTGCTGTAGATGGGACTGTATCAGCGATCCAGTACCGTGACACAATGAACATGGCACAGTCCCTCTGTCGGTTTTACCCGTCTCTTTCTCAGCATATGACTTTGTATTCTTGTCATGTCTTCCTCCTGCTTCTTTTTCATTTTCCTCCTTTGAGTCGACTACATTGGAGGAATCGCGATTTTTCAAGACACAAAGAGCCTTGGGGTTGAGCTGTGAGGGTGTAGGAAAAGAAAATGGGCCAAACTCTTCAGTGGCTGCTGTGGCAAGCTTCTCATCTTCTCGCTTTGCACCAGGGATTCCCAAGGACGTGACTTTGGAGGCAGACAAACAGATTCTACTAATCAACACCCAACTCATTCAATTATACATTGACCAATAGGATCTCATTTGATGAATGCCTCGGACTTACTAGCCTGTTTGCAGGTCTGCAGTATGAACGTTGCGAACTTTCTGACCTCCTCGTTTGCATCTTCAGCGAGCAGCGTGATGATGAGTGGCAAGCCGCCACACCGCAACAGTTGGCACTGATGTTCCTCTGCGGATAAGTACTGTATTCAAAAAGGGCTACTGCGTGAACAGTTATTTGTTGATATGTGCCCTGGGATTGACCAGTCAAGGCTATACCTGCCCTCTATAAAAGTTAAATAAAAACTGTACCAAACTAAATGTTTTTTTTAAAGTTCTTAAAGATTAACTACAAATGCATTTAACTTAAAAGTGAAATACAACTGAACTGTACTGAGGCAGGGATTTAGTTATTTATTTTTGCATATCACTTAGAGGCAAAATGCATATCACATGGACGGATAGTTAAAAATTGTGTTGTTTCCGTAGCCGCTGAATTTCTTACCAGAAGCTTCGGTGAAATGGCCCAGTAAGATGAGCACCGCCAGTCTGTCCTCGCAGTTGAGGTGCGGGCTCGCCAGGAGGGAAACGAGATGATCCACGATAGTATAGCGGGCCAAAACTGAAGCCAGGTTTGCTGAATGGAAATAAGAGGCAAATTAAATAGTTTACAGTAAAATGTCATGAGGTTAATCCTCACCGTTGTTAGCGATACAAGCTGACACTGTTTTGATTATTATGATTAAAAGCTGGCAAGACAACGTGCTTGTGTCAGATTCAGACGCCAGACGGATCAGCATGTGAACAAGGGTCTCTAACACCCCGGTGGCGGCAAAGCTCCTTTGAACACGTTCTGCAAACACAAAGTACCTGTTGGGTATCATACAGGGCTTTTTTCATCTGACAGTTTGGAATGTTGCCTTTACTTACCATTGTTGGCAACAGTCATCGCAATGAAGGAGCAAAGGTATCGAAACACCTCAAAGCAAGGCAAAGAAATCTGCTGAAGCCACATTTTTATTTTGGGAAAGGATGACACACAGACCCACTGAGCCTCCTCTGGAGTATATGGGGAACACAAAAGTTGGCAGAGCGCTTCAGTCAAGCGTCATAATTCTGAATTAAATATTTCATTGCAATACCATTCTGAGGGTTGTTGACACACCCACAAAGCGCACTGGACACTGATACCCATAGACAGATATGAGCAGAGTCCGTGGTAGATTCAGGGAACATGTTCCTGAAATGGTGTCAACACAAACATTTACAGTCGACATTTGCTTGACTTCTGCGTGAAGACAACAATACTGATTCTTTTGCACGTACTTGAAGAGGTTCAGCAGAAATTCTATGCAGCCAGTGGTTTGGGCTAAAGTCTGCCCTGCCTCTGGAAAAGAACCACTATTGATGAGGTTTTTGCTCTTGAATAAGTCGAAATTAATTTCTTTCCATTTTGAAAGTGAGCTTGGGTCTTACTGTTGTTGGCTACCAACACAGACAGTAAATAGACAGAGACGCTTTTCTGTTTAAGCGAGGCATCTTCTTCCTTCATGTAGCCACAGAGGTCAAGAAATATCTCCCTTTGACATAGGTTATTCTTGCAGTACACTTCAAGAGGAAAAACACATGGTTGGCACTTGTACTGTATGGATTGAACGCAGCAAAAACTTTCTGTTTTTGGATACAGTGAGTATTTTAACATAACACTGGTCTAGTCTTATCACAAATATGCCATTGTGAGTTGTTTGGCATTGAAGACGCAGTATGTACCATTGGCCTCCGCTAAAGTGCCGAGTGTGAAGAGCGCAGTCTGCCTCACACTTGGATGAACAACGTTGGATTTGAAGAGACTGTACACAAACATCACACCTCCCATTTCTCTCAGCAGGTCCACATTGTGATCTGAAATCATACATAGTCAATGTGAAACACACTAAATAAGAATGAAAATGGGCAATGGACTGGGCCATTCGTATTTATCATATATATACGGTAACAGGAAGTCAGTGTGGAGATCAATAATTTTGAAAATTCGATGACGGGTTCGGGATACATTTAGTTTTGGGGGTGGGGAGGGGACAAATGTCCTTTGTGGAAATGCTTTTCTAATATTATCATCGACAGAAAATCTAGTTTAGAAAATGCCTTTAGATTGGAATAAAACAGTATAACTTGATTATTTCTCAGTATATTTTATCACCTCAACCCTTACGTTTGATCTGCCACTGCGGTAACCCTTTCTCTGAATGGCTGACAAATGATAATAATATCCACTAAGTTGATGTGTCAAAATTACCAGGACGTTTCAAATGGAAATGACCAGGTGATATTTATTGCCACATCTCAAAGAACAGGGAAAAGCTTTTGTAGTTTATCAAATGATAGTTAAGTTTACCTTTTTTCTCACATATGGAGTTGATGGTGACAAGGGCTTGTTTTTGTAGGTCTGGACAGTTCATCTGGAACTTTAGACATTCCAGCAGCAAAGAGAGATCTGTCTTGGTAGCTGACATCACAACCACGAAACAAAAGCCAGATGTACATCAATACATATACAGCTACTCATAAAGTTAACACCGCCTCTGTTAATATACATACATCAATGATTCCCAACCACAATGTGGCCTTGAGAGATCATCAGTGTGCCGTGAAAAATTACTCAATTTCACCGAAAAAGTCATAAAATTATGTCCAAAAGTAATGTGTCTTTGTTCATCTCTAGAGCAGTGACCTAATGACAATAACAACAATTAAATCCTCCTCCAGTCGATGGCACAAGATGCACAATGTACAGTACTGTATTCTACCCACGTTTCCCTTCAACAGAATAGTACTGTTGTGTTCAACTGAATAGGTACACTCTGAGTACATTTGAGAGTAAAGTGAGACCAGATCAACATTATTTCAGTATACTGTAGATACATTTTGTGGCATTTTATTTGTGTTTTATAGTCTTCCCTGAGGTTTTCCTAATGCAAAATACTGTATGTGCTCTGACTCAGTAAGTTGAGAAACACTGATAATTGTGCAAATAATCAGAATACATGTGACTCACTGTTGCGGCTGCTGCTGTAAACCGCTGCATCATCTGTGCTCTCTTGCACTGTTTCAGTAGTTTGAACTCCCAAGTGATACATTACTGTAATTGTTGCCAAGAGTTAATTACAGTCAAGTAAACTTCGTTTTGCAGAAGTACAGCAGTTAGCAAAATCGAAATGATGACAGTATACAGAATAAATAGCCAATTCAATGACCCATAAATGGCTATTTTCAAAAAGACATGAGGTGAATGAATATGTTTACTTGGAAATCATCACCAATGCTCACATTTAGATAGGTTTAAAGTAGCTAAAGCTAAACACTATTTCTGTATGTAAGAAAAGATCAATATGTGAGTCATAGATGTTCATTTCCAAATATGGACTAGAGATTGATTCGAAAGGTTTACCTCGACTGTGTACGTTTTATTCTTCTTGACACAATACAGTAATTAAGATAATAATCTGGGACTCCACTTGCGTCACCTGCACACAAAAAGAAAATGGCCTCCTCTGACACGGCCAATATATTCGACCGACTTCAGTTTTATTCATTATCTTTATTTTATTCCAGTGGTGATGACGTCATAGCGTCCCGTTATCAAGTGTTTTGTTTTATTACTGTGAACACAGATATATATTATTTGTACTTCCTTCCTACAAGTTTCAACGATCCCTCCGGACAACGTCATCGATGACGTTGTATACGTCACTCACATGACTGTCAGTCCTGGGTATCGTTTTGTTTATTAACTACTTTACTAAACCGCCTTGTGTGTGTTTTGTTACGTGACAACTACTTTATTTACGCCGTAGTTTATTGTTCATATCATGACGCTTTAGCTTGAGTTTTAAATTATACGAAAGTCGCGATTACTCAGAACTAGCATGCTACGCTAACGTTAGCTGTTGTAACCTAGGTAGATAACAAAATAAACATGGTTTCACCTTTCGTCTAATTTCGCAAAGCCCCCCCCCCTGGTTGTTGCGCGTGCCGAACTTTACCCTGTTGTTCTCCTACACAGGGAAACGACTGGTTAAGTTTACAATAGCATACAAGTTATAAGAAATGTTGAGGCGTTCGTACGCCAACATCATTGAACGAGCGTCAAGAGGCAGCAACATCCCAAATGCACTCCAGGTTTCTATTTCGCCTTTCTATCTATACTCATTCATTCAGTCATTCATCGTTTTAACGAGTGATGTTTTTGTGGGGGGCGGGGGGTTCTTAGTGTCGCTCCCACGCAATCTTTCCGAAGCAAGCATACCAACATCATCAACCTTCTTCCTGCTGGGATCTGTTGTCCAGAAGATACGAGCACAAGTTGAGCAAAGGTCTCACGTTGGCAACTCAAAGTGGACGTCAGCTGTCAACACATCAGGATTTTGACTTTCAGCTCAGCCAAGTGCAGATCGACAGCATTCTGCGGGCAAATGAGCAGGTAATAACACTGGCTCGCTGAGGATGACCTCTGTTGGCACAGTGACTGCCGCTCACATACTGCTATAATGACGATTAATGCGCGCGCGTGTGTGTGCGTGTGTTCAACAGAAGGTTTGTCTTTAAATATATTACCTTCATAATACCTAATCATTCTGACTTTACTACTGTGTTAGCAGAGGTTAATGACAGCGCGTTCAAACGAACTAATTTGCTGGAACAGCTCGTATTTGGTGGATTGATGCTGAAATGTTGATACTATGTTACTCTGCTTCCTGATTCTGCAATGGATTTCCAGAATAGACAAATTTCGTCCAAAAATGTTCAGTTTTGATCACCCCGACCAAGTTCTACATAAGTAGTGACTAAAGTTAACATCACTCTGTAACCTAATGGTTGAAAAACGTTTAATGTGTCTTAAAGTAACTTGTGTTGAAATTTCCTAAATTAATTGATGCTGAAATGTTGATACTATGTTACTCTGCTTCCTGATTCTGCAATGGATTTCCAGAATAGACAAATTTCGTCCAAAAATGTTCAGTTTTGATCACCCCGACCAAGTTCTACATAAGTAGTGACTAAAGTTAACATCACTCTGTAACCTAATGGTTGAAAAACGTTTAATGTGTCTTAAAGTAACTTGTGTTGAAATTTCCTAAATTAAAGTTGCATGTATAAGCTTAAGTCACAAGGTGACTTAAAAAAAAAAATCAAATTCACAGTGTTAGCATATAAGGAAGAATTGTAAAAAATTTCCTGCGCAATTGCTTACTCACTTTACTATATTGCATTGCTGGATTTTTGTTTGAGGTTTTATCATCAATGTTACAGAGTGTGAGCATGCCAGAGTTTGATGTACGAGGCGTCAGTCTGGTGCGAAAGTTTGAGAGCAACCACTTAGCCGCTAACACGCCCAATGAAGACCGCCGCAGCTCAGCCACCTGTTTGCAGGTATTCAGGCTTTCTATGTGAATACCCACTTTGGAATGCCTGTTCTCTTATCAAGCAGTGGTCATATATGCGCAAGCTTCGGGTCGCTTTTTAAACCTTACGACTTCTCTGTAATTGATCATTTCACAATTGACAATTGTTCTGAGAATATTCTTGGTATAGGCCAAAATTAGAACATGCTGCTATATGTGTGGGAATTCCCCACTAAATTTTGTACTGGTAGCAGTGGTGCGACCAACTTTTTCACTTGGTCAAATTTGATTCCATTGTCTTTCATTATCTTTATTTTATTCCAGTGGTGATGACGTCATAGCATCCCGTTATCAAGTGTTTTGTTTTATTACTGTGAACACAGATATATATTATTTGTACTTCCTTCCTACAAGTTTCAACGATCCCTCCGGACAACGTCATCGATGACGTTGTATACGTCACTCACATGACTGTCAGTCCTGGGTATCGTTTTGTTTATTAACTACTTTACTAAACCGCCTTGTGTGTGTTTTGTTACGTGACAACTACTTTATTTACGCCGTAGTTTATTGTTCATATCATGACGCTTTAGCTTGAGTTTTAAATTATACGAAAGTCGCGATTACTCAGAACTAGCATGCTACGCTAACGTTAGCTGTTGTAACCTAGGTAGATAACAAAATAAACATGGTTTCACCTTTCGTCTAATTTCGCAAAGCCCCCCCCCCTGGTTGTTGCGCGTGCCGAACTTTACCCTGTTGTTCTCCTACACAGGGAAACGACTGGTTAAGTTTACAATAGCATACAAGTTATAAGAAATGTTGAGGCGTTCGTACGCCAACATCATTGAACGAGCGTCAAGAGGCAGCAACATCCCAAATGCACTCCAGGTTTCTATTTCGCCTTTCTATCTATACTCATTCATTCAGTCATTCATCGTTTTAACGAGTGATGTTTTTGTGGGGGGCGGGGGGTTCTTAGTGTCGCTCCCACGCAATCTTTCCGAAGCAAGCATACCAACATCATCAACCTTCTTCCTGCTGGGATCTGTTGTCCAGAAGATACGAGCACAAGTTGAGCAAAGGTCTCACGTTGGCAACTCAAAGTGGACGTCAGCTGTCAACACATCAGGATTTTGACTTTCAGCTCAGCCAAGTGCAGATCGACAGCATTCTGCGGGCAAATGAGCAGGTAATAACACTGGCTCGCTGAGGATGACCTCTGTTGGCACAGTGACTGCCGCTCACCATACTGCTATAATGACGATTAATGCGCGCGCGTGTGTGTGCGTGTGTTCAACAGAAGGTTTGTCTTTAAATATATTACCTTCATAATACCTAATCATTCTGACTTTACTACTGTGTTAGCAGAGGTTAATGACAGCGCGTTCAAACGAACTAATTTGCTGGAACAGCTCGTATTTGGTGGATTGATGCTGAAATGTTGATACTATGTTACTCTGCTTCCTGATTCTGCAATGGATTTCCAGAATAGACAAATTTCGTCCAAAAATGTTCAGTTTTGATCACCCCGACCAAGTTCTACATAAGTAGTGACTAAAGTGAACATCACTCTGTAACCTAATGCTTGAAAAACGTTTAATGTGTCTTAAAGTAACTTGTGTTGAAATTTCCTAAATTAAAGTTGCATGTATAAGCTTAAGTCACAAGGTGACTTTTAAAAAAAAAATCAAATTCACTGTGTTAGCATATAAGGAAGAATTGTAAAAAAATTCCTGCGCAAATGCTTACTCACTTTACTATATTGAATTGCTGGATTTTTGTTTGAGGTTTTATCATCTAAGTTGCATGTATAAGCTTAAGTCACAAGGTGACTTAAAAAAAAAAATCAAATTCACAGTGTTAGCATATAAGGAAGAATTGTAAAAAATTTCCTGCGCAATTGCTTACTCACTTTACTATATTGCATTGCTGGATTTTTGTTTGAGGTTTTATCATCAATGTTACAGAGTGTGAGCATGCCAGAGTTTGATGTACGAGGCGTCAGTCTGGTGCGAAAGTTTGAGAGCAACCACTTAGCCGCCAACACGCCCAATGAAGACCGCCGCAGCTCAGCCACCTGTTTGCAGGTATTCAGGCTTTCTATGTGAATACCCACTTTGGAATGCCTGTTCTCTTATCAAGCAGTGGTCATATATGCGCAAGCTTCGGGTCGCTTTTTAAACCTTACGACTTCTCTGTAATTGATCATTTCACAATTGACAATTGTTCTGAGAATATTCTTGGTATAGGCCAAAATTGGAACATGCTGCTATATGTGTGGGAATTCCCCACTAAATTTTGTACTGGTAGCAGTGGTGCGACCAACTTTTTCAGTTGGTCAAATTTGATTCCATTGTCTTTACATGTCCACCCCACTTAAGTTGAAATGAGGAAATGCCTCTCCCCAGGCAAAGGGCACACTGTTTGGCGTCTTCGATGGCCATGGCGGCTGGGCGTGCGCGCAGGCAGTCAGTGAACGCCTGCTGTACTACATCACTGTCGCCATGATGCCCAAACGCAGCCTGGAGGAACTGGAGACATGCATGGAGCACGGCAGGCCTGTCCCGCCCGTCTTGCAGTGGTATAAGCACCACGCCGACTTTAATTACCGTGACTCGGCTTCACTCTACGTCCACCACCTTCGAGTCTTCTGGCAGGAGCTTTTGGACAGTCACGAACATGGCGAAGGCATGTGGTATGTTCTAAACCTCTCCCTGCTTTACAAACACAAACACTAGATGACAAAACTTGAATTGATTGATGGAATGTTACACAAGAAACTAAATCCGTACATAAAGTGGCAGATAGATATACTGTAGATACAGTAAATGGGTAGACATGACATTCTTATACTGGACATCCAGATGTATTGTCTCCCCAGCCCTTCGGATGCCATGCATTACGCTTTCAAGCGTTTGGATGCCGACATCTCCTTAGAGGCTCAAGTTCCTCTGTCCAATGACTTGATGAAAAGCACAGCCATTCAGGTAATATTGCAACTTTTTTTTTTTTTTCTTGACATTTGTGTATTTTTTGAACAGTCTTAGTAGCTCCTCTGATGTGGCCCGTAATGGAAATGAGTTTGGCGCCCCTGTGCTAGGCTAATGTACAGTGTGATTGTGATTCTCTTTCCAGGTTGCCTTTGCTGGGTCAACAGCCTGTGTGGCTCACGTCGGCCAGGAGGGCATCCACGTGGCGAACGCCGGTGACTGCAGGGCGGTATTAGGCGTTCTGGAGGCCGACGGCACGTGGAGCGCTGTGCCCCTCTCTCAGGACCATAACTGCCAGAACCAGGCTGAGCTAGAGCGCATCAGGGCCCAGCACCCGCCCTCAGAAAGGCAGACTGTGGTCACGGATGACAGACTTTTAGGGGTGAGTGTTCTTACAAGCACCCCAAAGAATCAAATTAGGACCAGGTCATGAATTTATTTTATCCATTCATTCAAGTTGCCATGAAAAGTACAAGATGACCTTTTTTTAATTAGTCACTTCCATAGTTCAAAGCTCCTGCTTAAAAACGATTTTGTTTTGCAAAAATCAGACACTCCATTTTTAGTACCTATCATACAGTTTGATACATTTTCATCGCCAGGTTTTGATGCCCTCACGAGCATTTGGTGACATGAGGTTCAAATGGAGCCTCGAGTTGCAGCGGAGCATCCTCGCTAGCCTAGAGTCCGACGTGGACCCTGACTCGCTCAGCCTGTACCACTACACCTTACCCAACTACCTGTCGCCACCCTACCTGGATGCGGCTCCAGAGGTGATGTACCACAAAGTGAGGCCACAGGACCGCTTCCTGATCCTGGGCACCGATGGCCTGTGGGACGAGCTGAGTAGTCAAGAGGCGGTGCGGCTGGTCGGCGAGCATCTGAGCGGTGTTCACATTCAGGTATGCATACTCACAAGATGGATGCTGTATGCCAAGGTACAAGTTTTAAAGGGAAACAATAGCACTCTTGAATAAGAATATTATAGGGGTGGATTTGAATGTCATTATCTTCATCTTTTGTTGCAATATGTTTAAAAAGTATATTCACCTTTTTTGGGGGGGTGGGAGGATAGCTATCCATCCATTCATCCAATTTCCAATATGCTTATCCTCACGATAGTCGCGGGTGTGCAAGACCCCATCCCTTCGGGCAGTAGGCGGGCTACACCTTGAACTGGTTGCCAATCGCAGGGCACACATTGACGAACAACCGCGCTCACAATCACACTTCGGGACAATTTAGAGTGTTCCATTAACCTGCCATGCATGTTTTTGGAATGTGGGAGGAAACCGGAGTACCCGGAGAAAACCCACGCAGGCACAGGGAGAACATGCAAACTCCACACAGGAAGGCTGGAGGCGGAATCGAACCCTGCACCTCTGCCCTGTGAGGCAGACGTGCTAACCAGTCGTGCGCCGTGCCGAATGTCTGTCGGAAGCCTGTTTAGTCAGCAAAGTAGTCTAGCCTGAAATCATTTCTACCCTCTGCGTTCAAACATGACAATCAGTAATGTCTCTATTTTTTTCTAACAACAGAACACAAAACTCCCTTTCTCATGATTTCATCCGCCAGGGTCCGGTCTCTCAGTCGGAACGTCAGCTGAAGCTGGGCCAGCTGCACCAGCTTCTGCTCAAGCGTCAGGCCCGCCTCTTGCCCGCCTCGGACACCAACGCCGCCACGCACCTCATCCGGCACGCCCTGGGTACCGGTGAGTATGGCGAACTGTGCCACGAAAGGCTGGCGTCCATGCTGGCCCTACCACAGGACCTGGCTCGCATGTACCGCGACGACATCACGGCCATCGTGGTTTATCTGAACCCACAGGCGATTGACTGACCGAGTGGCTTTACATTTTCAACATAGAAAAATTCTCTGATTTATTCCATGAAGTAGTATTATTTTATTTTCAACAGTCGATTCGCTATGATTTTTTTTTTCCAATCAGATTTCAACCTCTGGTTCATGACAGAATTGGCAGACAGTTTGGGCAACATAAAAAAAAAGTACAAATTCAAAACCAATTAATTTTTTTTAATTTCGAACACGCTTATGAACAGTGCACGTTTTATCAGATGTAATTTGTCATACAAATTTTGATGTGTTTGCCGTAGCCCTATTTCAGATACTCAAGCACCTGAAGAACATTTAAAAAACAGAGCAAAACTTGTTACAGCTTGGTTCAATGTTTTTTTTTTTTTTTTTTTTGGTCATGTGGTCAGGTCGTATTGTTTTTGCATTGGTTGATAGTTTCTCGAAACGTTCTACTCTAACTGTGACGTAATATTGACGGTTTTAAGAAATTGTTTAGGTAGGGTAAGACCCTGCTGAAGGCCTGGATACCAAATTCACAACACGCCACTGTTATTGATAGTTTACATACAGGCTTTTGTTTGTAAATTTGCACAGCCCTGTTTCAGATTGTATCACATCAGGTCAAACACAGATCATGTGAAGAAATGGTTCAGAAACGCACATGATGATCTCTGTTTCGGGCATTTTTACCTATAGTATGACACATGTTGAGAATTTGTTAGTTCAGATTGCCATTGTCTGTTTTTTTTTTTTTTCCAGGTGTCAAATTAGTTTTCAATGCATGCCAAATTGTAGTTATGGTTGCCCTTGGTGGCCGAGTTCTAATGCTGAGATCGCATAAATGTATTATGGTTTGGGCTGTAAATGGTAGGCCAGGAACCTTTGTTGTGTGCTCATGGTTTATTCCACACCATTGAGTGTAGTCAGGGAACAAACTTCTGTTTTTTTTTTTTCTGTAAACAAGGACAGAGTTAATGCCATTTGAAATGGAAAGTCAACAGTGTCAATCATTTTCTCAGGAAAGTGCAACAATAGCAGTTTGAAAAACGTCAATGATTATGGTTTGAAATATTTTAATAATGACATTTGCTATTGCTTTTTCTCCATTTGGAGAGGCAGCTGCAGCTGGAATTTGTGTTTGTACGGTGTATGTCATTTGGCTAGCCATGATGTCTGGTAGCCAGAAGCGGGGCAGTACTGTTGTTTGTTTACAGATTAGGCCTCTGGCAGTTAAACTTTCTGTCCCTTACCTAATATCATCATCTGTGAGGAAATACTGATTATGGCCACACCGTATTACATGATTGCTCATGCATTTTATTTTGAACATTTTTTTAAAATATATTACTACTTTTGAACATGAGTCTAGCAAAAACTGTGCCAATCACGCTCTGTGGACAATCCATGTGTTACACTGTCAAATGTAAATGTACTTTCCTCTTTGTGTCACTGTATGATTTTACTTTAAACGAAATGAAGGGAAAAATAAAAGACGTATATCATACAAAGATGGGTTGTGTGCTTGTTTGATGACAGTTTCTTTGCATCGAGTAAACGTGTTGCTGAGTCAGTGTGCTTGTGTCGGGTTTTGTCAACGTGTTGAAGCTCATTTAACTGAGCTCAGCTCACTGTGTATGAAAAGTAGAAAAAAAACATTTGTTTTCTGCCTTTTAAACATCCTCCCTGAGGTCTGACGTAAAACATATAAACACGAAAGAATTACAGCGCACGCTCCGGTTGAAATCGCACCCTTTTGGGGGAGCGGTCTTGTCTCCTGCTAATGCTCGGTACGGCGTTGGTAACCATGACGACCGAGGGTGGAGCAAGAGTGTGTGGCGAAAATATTTCGTCACTTGTGACCCCTCAAGTGACTTATTTTCAATTGGAAAAAAAATGGGCAGGCAAAAAAAAAAAAAAAAAAGCTACTCACTCTTAGTTATTTCTGGAGAGTCTTATAGGCTCCCTCCAGAGCAAATAGAATATATGCAACATTGTAAGACTTTTTATTAATCCGCAAGTCAACTAAGACACGGGTTTCGACAGAAATAGAACACAGCCCGCGCCTTGCCGGTCCATTGGCTGCTACTACATTTTTGTACAACTAGCTCCGCTATTTTACCCACTGGTAATTTTGAAATTATAAATATGGTCACCGAATATTGTAAAACACAATATACTGTATGTGTACCGTCACTGTATTGTACACAAATTTATTTGTCACTTCTCTTGCCCTACGAAACATGATTCTCTGCTGGTTTTAACTGTCGATCAAGGTCAAATTTGGAGGGGATGCAGCTGGTTGAACTGAGATTTCCATGCAACACAAGCGTGGCAAAGTCACATGACACGTGGCCGATGTCTTCCTTTCGATATTAATCTTTTTAATTCTACGAACAGTGGAATCACTGAAATATAAAGAGAAGCTATAACTGTAAAATCCAAAACATAAAGCAACAATTCCCTGTCTTTGAAAAAAACGCATTGGAGAGGAAACGGGAAGATGTTTGAAGAGTGACAATGTCACCACCTAATGGCAAACGATCCAAAAAGCAAAAACATTGCCTGAGCTCAAGTTTCATGAAATAAACCGAAGAGGGGTGGCGCTTTGTTTCTGTGACGTAAGCATATAAGAAAGTTAACCACTGTGTAATAAAAGTAGCAAAATACGGTAAATTTAATCAGCATGTTGAGGCACATTTGTCGCGGCCAATGAGGTTTGGTCTTTAAAAGGAAATAGAATATAACTTTAAAGTAAACAGTGGAATAATTTCCTCTTTGTTGGACTTCAACCTTACTTACAATAAACCGGCTGAAAAGTGAACTTTGAACTCAGATCTTCTTCACAGTCTTGAATTTAAAGACGTATGTTATGAATGAGCACAGAGGAACCAGGTGACTCTTCGCACTCGTCATTGAAGGTATGCATTCACCTGCATGAAAATCTATATAAAGTACCGGGTGGCAGAATGCAAGTGACTACCACAGGCCTGAACTGAAAATGATGACATACACATTTGGACGCTTGAAGTTTTGCCACTTGGAAGTCAAGTCTTGTTGAAATGCTTAATAGACTGCGGACATGGTCTCCATATTTTTAATCTGCATAACAGATGAGTGAGAACATGTTCCAGGAGGGTCTGTACCAAGTGTACTTCAAAGAGCGCCCAAAGAAGAGGCCTGTCGAGCAACAGGACTTGCACCATGCTCGGATTCATCGCTGGTTCTCTTCAGTGGTCAACACCAGGCTGCTGGTCAGCGGGGTGAGCCACTTGTGATTTAACATGCAAAAGCGGTCCCCAAACTGTATTGCGCGGTTTCATGTCAAGCAATATACTGACCGGCTGACACGCAAACAAATAAAAACAAATACGTTGGTGCCGTCAAGGTACAAGTTTGAGAACTTTCACAGGCTCTCAACTCAAAATACTCATATCTCAAATCATCTTTCCCCATTGAAGTGAATTAAAATGTTTGTGTTTATGTTTTGAAAAAGGTAACATTTAAATACATAGAGGTGCAACATAATGAAATAGAATGTCAAAAAAATTAAACAGTTTGTGTATCATGATTTAAAGTCACGATTCAATTAATTGTGCCGCGCCTCCTCGTGTGCCACCTTTGCCACCAGGAGGAAGTTTTACAGTCATATCGAGGGAAACAAAGAAAAATAGTACTTGCTCATCTCATACTACTATAAGTTACTTTTTCTTATAGGATAAAGAATATATGACTGTGTATTGTTTTCAAATATCAATTTCTTAAAGTGTTCTAAAACCTTGACCAGCAATGCTAATCGTTAGCATGTCAATGTTTTTTTTTTTTCCATTACATTAGATTAAGATAGTGGGCCATTCTTAAGGCAAAGCTTTTTAGGACTTTTTACAGAGGCTCAGGCAGATGCGTCTCATTTCCGTCCTCGTACCAGACTCCCAACGCAGCAGTCCAGACCACTGCTGTACAAGACGAAACTTAATGTTGTGTTTGCACTCAGGTGGTGCAGTTCTTGAGTGGCGCGGTCTGCATGCTGGCCGCCGTGTGCCACGCATGTGTGAGCTACGACTGCTCCGTCACCATGACGGCGCCGGTGTGGTCCAGCCTCCTCGTGAGTCAGCGTCACATCGTGACAACATTTTGACACTCGTGGACAAACTCGTGTTGCTGCTGTTGTTACAGTTCATGGCTGCTGGATGTGTGGCAGTAGAAGTCCAGAGGAAGCCCAATAAACTCAAGGAAAGTGTATAATTCCTACATTACACCGTCTTTCTTCCATTTTTAGTCAACTAAATGAATTAAAAGTATTAATATGGTTGTATAAAATGTAATTACCGTACGTATTGTCGTAATAGTGTGTTGGATGCGTGCCATTAAGAAGCGTGGCCAAATAAGTGGTGTCAGGAGCTGGAGCGTAGTTGGCCAGCTAGTCTATATGTCAGTGTTTGGTTGGGAGTTGTGGCCTGCATCAGTTCCTTGCGAGTGTCCTCATTTTGTATTTGTGTTTTTGTCTTTTTGTCCCATTCAGTCAACAGCTGCAAGTTCCTCGGCAACCGTGGTTCTCCTTGCCCACATGCCGAGACATATTTTACAATAGCACAGCCCTAATGGATTATTTAATACTGAAGAAAGATATTTTATTTCTACCCATACTTATTGTTGTATTTGGTTCAATTGTTATGCATGTTTTAATTCTGTTTTCGTCCGGCAATCGATAAAATAATCATGGGGCGCTGTCTTTTTTTGCCAGCAAATTACTTCCTGGGTCAAGGAGGATGATGTATGCTGAAAAGACCATGCCAGTTTCAATATCCTAGTAATAGTAGTTCAGGTTGAATCTTGCCAACAACTAAGCCAAAAAAGAAAAAAACAAAAAAAAAACAGTGCTCCAAAACACCACCGGAACTGCCCTTGGTTGAGAAAGTCAAATTTGATGAAGCGAAGTGCTCGTGTGTACCAGTATTTTGCATTCATTCTCTGCCAGGGCTAATTATAGTTTTGTTTTTCCATTGTAGAGTAGTTCATTTTTATTTCATTTTGATGATTGTTTTTTGGATTCAGTTTGTTTTAATTAGTTGGTGTTTATTTTATTAGATTTTTTTTTAAGTCCAATAAGTATTGTGTCCTAAATTAGAGTAAACTACGATTCTTTCATATTTATTTGATTTCATTAACGAAAATGTCTTTTCATTTTTTGTGATATTAGTTTTCGTAAACTGTAATGATCTTGCTCTGTACAGATCATCATCCTTATGGGTGTTCACCTCCTCAGCCTGCTGATTGGTTTGTCCCTGCTGTTCGCCTACTGCCTCTCGTCTCAGCGGCCACTCGCTCTTCGTACAAGAAAACAGGCGAGTCAGTTTATGTCTTCAATTATTTCACTATAGAGTCATACCATAAATGCTGTGTTTTAAAAGTCGATATGCTACACGTGAATGAGCGCTGTTTCCCCTTCACAGCTTGTCGGCACGTATGTGGCTAAGGGCAGCGCCGTAGCGTTCACTTTGCTGTGTCTGCTACTGTCCCTCTATATTGTCTTATTGTCGTGGAGAGGCCTCCGGCGCTATGGGAGTACGACAGTCCAAGTTCGTGGGTACGACCGTGTCATGCAGGTCAGGTGCTTGCTTATGTCACTTCCAGTCCAAGCAAAATCTGACTCACTCTTACCTGCTGCATCTAACAGGAGCCAGACGATGACACGGGGCATTTATTGGAGCATGTGGACTCAGTGTGACTATCTATCCATCCAGGTTTTGTTTGTGCATTCTGTGTTTTTCAAGGAGTAAAATGGCACTCCATAGAACAATGGAGTAATATCACAATGAAATAGAATTGAAAAAAATTCAACTATTTGTGCATCATGGTTTAATGCTTCAGTTCAATTCGATGTGCTGCTCCTTCAGGTGTGCCCATCTTGGCCACCGTATAATATAGTCGCAAAGACACAAATGATGAAGTACATTTCTTCACGGACTACACGCATAAATCATGAGTTCATGTGTTGTGGTTGTGTTTATGACATTAAATGTAATATGGAAAGGCTGACTTTTGCTCCAATCCGGTTCAAAAATTGCCTGCTACAGATTTGAAAAGAAAAAGGAAAATAATATGTGGATTCATTTGAGATTTCCAAAGAGTTTATGGCTGCCACAGAGTCTTGTATTAAACTGTTCAATTGCCGACACGAGTGCTATATGTCCTTTCTCACTCGCCATACAGTGATGCAACATAACAGTCAAAACCGGTAATGTCGGAATCGAAACGCCACCGAATGTTTCAAAACTACTATCGATGGTCACCAATATGTATGTTGATATTTTTACTGAATGCTCACATCAAGCTCTGAAAATATTAGAATGATCGGCCAAGTATGAGGGACTTTAGGGTGTTTTCCTCCTCAGAGATTCACTCACGACAAAGCTTATGTCACTTCATGAGTTAATGTGTCATCCATAAAATACAAAACACATGACATGTCTTGCAACATTACAGAATGTCAACCTGTTGACAGATTCATCGCGTATACGCCTGCCTGTCAAACTATTTTCAGTAACGCCTTGATTGGCTGTTGCAGATGAGACTGGCAACACTCAAACAAAAATGACATCGCTGTTTCTTTATATTTTTAATGTCTTAGTGATAAGCAACTCAAGATTAGTATTTCACAACGTAAAAATAGTTATTACAGTGAAACTCCTCTACAACAAAATCATGTTTGCAGCGAGAAATTTTTCACAACAGGGGTTTTTCACTGTAGCAAATTTGATCTCAGATGTAAACACACACAAACGCACACACACAAACGTATGTGTACACGCACACACAAACGTATGTGTACTCTTTATTTTTATTCCAATAGTGCATAAGTATGAGCATACACTTATTTGACACTTGATATAGTCAGTGTAGAAAGAAAAAAAGGGAAATAAGTTGCGAAATTTACGATCAGCATTCACTTTCACTTACATCAATTTCTTGGATAATGTCTTTTATTTTGCTTCCTCCATCTTTCATTTGGATCACTTTTACCCTCTTCCAGCATCAGAACTCTTCTTGTTCTGCTTGACATCCAAAGGTCAGTTTTGTAGCCATTTTAGCAATGCAATGTTCTTGCTTCGTCTGAAACTAACAATAACAAATACTTCCTGGACTACTGCCCATGTGTAAACCAGTGTGGTGATTGCTGTTGCCGTTTCCGAATGAAGCTGTAGAGGTCGCTGTTGGATTAGACTTCGTTGTAGTGAATCTCGTCGCGAGGCAACAGAGATCAGCTGACTATCGATTGCTAAGTCGCGCTTCACTCAAGTGGTGTCGCCACAAGAGCAGAGAAAAAGATTTTGTATAACGCGACAGGGTTTTTTTTTTCGTTGTATGGGGGGCAGGAGAGTGGGAATGATGTTAATGCATGAAGAGGTTTTCACACTAGGGGGTATTTTCGCCCATGTAGGTTTCGTTGTAGAGGTGTTTCACTGTATGGTAAAATATAATAATAATAATAATAATAATAAAAACTTTACATTTAGAAATCCAAGCCAATGGCAGAGACAAACAACACAGCCAGCTTTCTTAACCGGCTAGATTGATCGTGAGTGAAATGTGTGTCAGTAGGCACTTTGTTTTGTTCTCTGATTGTACACTAGGTGGCATTATTGGTATAAAAATACTGTTGAGATGAAATAGCCTGTGAAGAAAAAACAGTGTTTGGCTAAACTCCAGCCTTGTTATTTTGCCTCCCGACACCACATGCTTAACCCAATTTGGGATGAAAAAAGGAATGGACGAAAACTGACTTCCGTTCTTGCATAATCCGTCCTTTTTCCATCTTCCATTCCAAAAATGGGCGTCCGTGATGGCCGGCCAGACCGTTCCGTCCCAGGGACACAATGCCCATCTGTGTGTGCGTGTGCGTGTGCGTGTGTGTGTGTGTGTGTGTGTGTATGTGTGTGTCCAATCGAGCGAGCGTATACACACACACACAGCTGCTTAACATTCCTATTTCTACATTCCCATCCCGCACTATAACAAACTACAGTCTCTTGTTTGCCCTTGCACTTGAAAAAGATCAACATAAGCAGAACAAAACCCTGTTGATGGGGGGAAAAAAATATAAGCAGCCTTTATTTTGGCTACCTGACAGGGCATCTCAGTAACAGTAGTCACATTCCCAACCACACACCTGCTCACCTTGAATATATCATCTTTCACATTGAATTATTGGACCCAAAATCGATTTGCTGCCTTATGCTGCTTGTGTTTTGGTTTGCACTTCAACATGGTCTCTTTAGCATGCATATGTCCACACATCTCTTTCTACCAGGCAGATGATTGCATGTTACTGAACCCAGCTCTTATGCATACAGTGTTGTCTTTTTTTTTTTTCATCCAACTTTCTGAGACCGTGCTCGGAAAACCAAATGTCTTTTACGAGCATTCCCACAAACCAGTCTGAATACATACTTGCACAATCTGTCATGACTGAACCATAAGAAACTAGCTATTACGATGACTGTGGAGGAATTTCAATAAAATGAACTACAACGGAGATGGGAAGCATACAGTACATATGTTGGGAGGGGTGGGGCTAATGGTTGGGACAGATGCCTGAACCATGAGCCACTGCTTTGAGATGACTTTCCCATCAATTCTTAAAAGGACATTTTTTTTAGGGGTGGGGGCAGATGGCTCCTCATGGCCATGATGCCCAATCACAAGAGTCTCAAAGGTCCTCACATGCCCACAGTTGTCAAATTTTCACCACATCCCCTGATTTTAACCGCACAGGCGGGCTAGGAAAAAAAAAAAAAAAAAAAAACATCTGAGAAAAATAATAAACCTTGAGAGGGGACCGAAGATGGGGAGATCCCCTTCCAGGGTGACCAGACTGTCATGGATTCAGAGTTGTTTCACATTTAACACTATATGCTGCTATACAGAGGTTGTGTATATATATATATATCGGTATATCTCCATCAAAGCCTCACATTCACTTATTTATAAAACGAACTTTATCTCACTGCAAAGTACAGCACAACTGTGTGAGAGCGTACGTGGTTAATCGTTGGTGCCTTCCTGCCGTTGTTTTATTTGGTACTGGAAGTGGTTTTGTGCTAAGATATTTATTGTATGACTTTTGGAAAAAGTTAAATTTGAAAAACTACATTAAAAAAAACAAAAAACAAAAAAAAAAACAATGTTTCTATGGTCGTACTCGAGTTTGGGTTGCCAGTGACTCACTTTAGTCCGAAACCTACATTGCAAAAACAGAACAGTGATCAAGGGGTGTTTTGTTGCATCATTTGGTGACATAGTATATACTTGCCTCACTTCTTTCCTTTTTATTAGCCCTCGACCGATTTGTCATTTGACATTGACATCCTTTACATTCAACATTCCAAGACTGTCACCAGAATGGCTATAAAGCTGCTCGTCTTCTTTCTCAGCCTCAAACATCTCGTCTGCAAAGGTAACTTCACACAATTTCCGTCCCTGACATCTCGACTGCAAAGGTAACTTCACACAATTTCCGTCCCTGATTTTGAAGCTCGGTTCCATCTAACTTTGTCAACCTTAACGCTCATGTTTTTTTTTTCTTCCCCAATGTGGCGAGATGTAAACGTAGCGCTGATATTTATTGGAGTATTTTTCCTATCATTGCACAGATGGCGATCTCTCGTCGCTCGTTGATCCTCCTTTGCGTGATCACTGCACTGCTGACTGAAGTCGTAAGTTATTATCTCACACCCAATGATGTTGGATATGATGTCTTGGTGTTCCGTGGAAATTACTTTTAACAGTGTGCTCCTCTTCTTTACAGCGGCCTTACACTTTGTATCATAAGATAGGTTGGTAGCTCCAGTATGACTCAATGATACTTTTTCAAATGAACCATGTTGGTGTTTTGTCTTTGCTGACTTCAGATTTGATTGACATGTCTTGTTTTTTTCTTTAAAAAAAAAAATGAATAAAATTGTGTTGTAGTCAATAACTGTCCTCCAAAATGGACTCAGTTGGACTGCAACTGTTACATCTACCAAAATGAGGAGAGGACATTTGCAGATGCAGAGGTAAGGAAGAAAATAGTTGTGATGCTAACACAACCTGTGATCCAGTTGTCTGGCGAAATCAACTTTTTTCCTCTCCTTTTCCATCAGAGTGTCTGTAACATTCTCGGTGGGAATCTGGTCTCCATCCACAGTGCCTTGGAAAATATAGCTGTTCAGGAACTCGCGAAAGCAGGCGGTAATGATAACGTAACCTGGATCGGATTCAATGATGCCATTCAGGTGAAACATCGACCAGTACAAATGTTCCGATTGAATCCTGTCACTTATGGTACTTTTGTCTTGTCACCACCTTAAAGGAAGGAGGTGTAGAGTCGAGGCTGTTCCGCATTGCCGGGTGTCATAGTGTCATAGTCATAGTCCCGACTAATGGGGGCCAAAAACACGCTGGAACACATTATCGATCTAAGTTGACACTTTGTCAAATATGGAGGAAGTTAGAGCAACTTTGAGAATAAATCCACTCTTTAAAGGTTAAAGATACATTTTTTTTCAACATTCCAATCACCCGTCCTCACCCTCTACAATCCTACCACCAAACCGAGTTTGACACGATTGATGAGGTTGTGACCAACAAACAGCAGATCCAAATCCAGGCTCTCGTTATCTGTATTTTTGACTCATTCCAACGTGACTTGTCTTCCAGAATGATAATTTCATATGGACTGATGGCACGCTGAATGATTTCGAGAGATTTAATGAAACAGAGTCGCAGCCTGACAACACTGTAGGTGACTGCGTGGTGATCGCTGCGGATGGTAAGTCCAATCCGCGATCAATTTGCTCAGAACATAATGCTCTTATCCTTACACATTGATTTCTTCAAGATGGATATTGGCAAACTGCGAACTGCACAGACCTGGAACCATACGTTTGCATCAGAGAAGTGTTCCACCGCTAATATTCATCTTTTCTCGTCTTCCCATTCTCACTTGGGTCACAATGGAGTTCCCTGATCATGATGAATCAATGAGACAGAGTCAACCTTTGGTCGCCCTTTTGTATTGTGGGATTTGGGATTTCCTATCAACTCTTCGTTTCGTCCTCCACAATGCCTCATTATTATTGACAACACTTCTGTAATCTCAGAGTACGTCTGTAATTGTGGGACAAATAAAGGATATCTTAATAAATAAAGGAATCTATCAGCATCAAAATACGTGTGTCCTTTTTAAAAAAAAAAAAAAAAAAACATGTTCCCCTGGACGTTTCACACCTAAAAATGAAACAGCACTGCACTGAAGATGTAATAACAATTAATGGTCATCCAGAACCACAATGGAAAGCAATGGTCTTTGCATTTTTGATCAATAATAATCGCCAACAATGTATCACGAACAAGGAACTCACAGAAGGACTGACACCGCGAGATGGTGATGCTGCATCGCTTTGGATTTGAAATCAGCACAGCTTTTGTGTTGAAGATAAACAATGGAAGGTGAATCTCAGCTTGTCAAATCGATTATGAAGGCGAGAAATAACACCACGTTGCAAATCGGACAAATTCAGGCATGTTATACTGAAAGAGAGAATGCGTTACAGTCAGTATTAGAAAGTACATGTCTCTTTCGCAAGAAAATAGACACAGATCATGGAGTGAACGGCAAAGGCCATGTGAAAAGCAACACTCGAACCATGTGGTGAATGAGCTTTGCTCACGGCTCATTGCTTAGTTGTATGTCTTCAAATAAATGATTTTGGCCTCTGAAGCCATTTCTCAATTTTGTTTTTTTTTTTAAGGTACTTAGATTAGACTTAGCGACTGTCGTTTTGCATCCGATATCATTGGCTGCTTGGGGCTTTCCTCTAAATCTGAGGATAAATTGTTGGCTTTTCATATCAAAACCCAGCCTAGCTCTGTCCTAAATTGCCTTGCGTTTGACCGAAACATCCTCGAAGACAACAGTCTTAGATCAGTCCAGTTGCGATCGATTCAATGCCCCGACAATGAAATGACCTGGATGAACCAGGATATTTACAGGCATAATTGTGGGCGAGTCACCTGGTTATAGTTTGGCCCGCCTAAACCCCTATTTTGCCCCGGAGGAAACCTGTAGTGGTACAACAGGTTTAATATTTCAAATACATGACATTCATAACAGACGCTTCCCATAAGGGCTACGAGTGGAATGCGCGAGTTCATTGGTGACGAGCGGCACACACCCATGCCATCCATCCATCCATTTTCCGATCCGCTTATCCTCGCAAGGGTCGCGGGAGCCTATCCCAGCTGTCTTCGGGCAGTAGGCAGTGGACACCCTGAAACGGTTGCCAGCCAATCGCAGGGCACACAGAGACAAACAACCATCCACGCTCACACTCAAACTGAGTGTTCAATCAGCCTGCCATGCATGATTTTGGGATGTGGGAGGAAACCGGAGTACCCGGAGAAAACCCACGCAGGCCCAGCGAGAACATGCAAACTCCACACAGGGAGGCCGGAGCTGGAATTGAACCCGTTACCTCTGCATTGTGACGTCGATGCGGGAACCACTTGTCTACCGGGCCGCCCGCGGCAGACACCAAAACAGAAAATGGTCTTCGCTGGCACAGCAAAGGTGATGAGACAAACATGCCGATAAGCATTGTTGTTTAAGACAAGAGTTGATCGTAAACCCTGAAAAAGGTTTTTCGATTTTGTGATCGGTATTGCTTTGTCGGCCATGTTGCGGTTGCAGATGGGGAGGACAAACTAGGCTTGAAATGGAAAGACGAGTCGACCAACTCATGCCGGTATAACTTATTTAACTTAATAACTGAATTCAGTGCTTTGTTTTTGAATACATAACAGTCACCACCCCACCATCGGGTGTGTCACATTCCAGACCTCCAGGCATCTTCGATGTTCTCTTCCTACTTGATTGTCAACCTCTGAAAATGACAAATGACTAAGTGAACACTGTCGTTCTAGACTCCCCATTCACCTGATCCGTTTTTCCTAATAAATGTTCACGATAAACTTCTCCTCTCTTGATACTGAAAATAGATCGATTGATTGAAAATTGTGTCCATCTGGCTGTAATACGTGAAATGACCAAGAGATGGCGGTATTGCAACAGATTAGTAAAAAACTCAATGCGTGTCAACATCCAGATGTGGAAACTATTCAGTTTTACCTTTAATTGCTGTTTGATTTGGAAAGATTATATCCGTAATATAGGGTGTTGCAAAAGTCTTGGGCACATTTGAAGTCCCCATATCTCCTTAACTATGAATGGTAGTAAGATAAAAGTCGTGCCATTTTAAAGCTAATTACATTAAATTTTTCGTAAGGCTACTGATTTTTAAAATTTCTTTTCAGACCCATGAAGTTAAAGGCACGAATAACAGAAGCTGTTGCAACCATTGACAATGCTATGCTGGGACGCGTTTGGCAAGAATTTGACTATCAGCTTGATGTGTGTTGTGTGACCAATGGTGCTCACATTGAACATCTTTGAACATTCCATATAAAAATTGAGATTACAAGCTTTCTGAATTTACCAGATGCGTTTTTATATCCTGAATAGTTTCCGAGATATTCAATGTCAAAATGTGCCCAAGACTTTTGGAACACCATGTATATTTAAAAAGAAATGTAACCATTTTTTTTTTTTTGGACAGTGGTACGTCTACGAACAAAATTAATTGGTTCTGGAGGAAATATCTTAACTAAAGGCAGTATTTTCCTGTTGTGGCACTTCATGACTTGAAAATTTCGTATGAAGAGACGTTCGTAAGTAGAGGTACCACTGCATTATAATACCCCTTTAACTCTGTTATGTCTTACCTTTCGTCTGGATTTGGTCACATGACGGACAAACTGCTTTATTGTTTACATTCCGTTTCATTATGTTATTGCTCTCCGTTTTTACAAAAAAATAACATTTAATGCTTTTTGGCGCATTTTAAAAACACATTACAAAACAGTTTGTTGTGGCCAAAATGGATTGATAGTGATTTCATTCATTTTAACGGGAAAAGATGATTTGAGATATGAGCATGGTTACAAAAAAAAGCTGAATTCACATCTCAAACCATGTAAAATGAAATTAAAAATGAATTAAAAAAAACATCAAAAGGGAGCCTTGCAAACATTCATCAATAATTTATTTGCGTTCATCTCCTGAACCAACGACAGCGTCTCTGAAAAAAATCCTCACCACATTTTCCAATGACACGCTTTTTGAAAAAAGTTACTATACAAATTTTTATTAGAAAAGAATAAATTAACTGTGGAATTCAGTTATCATCATTATTATTGTCCGCCCCCATCACCCTCCCTGCCCCCCCTCCAGTATAATCAATTCCACACTTGTTTTCCTACAGCACATTAAATGTATTCATGTTAACAGTTACATGCTCTATTTGTCTGCTGTGTGTTAAAATCAACTTGGATTGGATGGACTGACTCTATGGGGCAATGGTATCATGTTAATTCGTGTAGCACCGGGATAGACAAGAAAAAAAATAAACAACAACGGTGAGGGGAACATTGTGGAAAAGAGTCAGTATTCAAAATCCTAAGAAAACAATGTCAAGCCTCTTTAAGAGCATTAAAAACAAGTGAGTTGAAATTCTCTTGGCTTGGATTAACACAAGGTTAGAGGGAGGAGGCTGCACTGAACCATACCGGGCTTTCGACATTTGCACAAAGGTCATTCAGGGCCACGATATATTGTGGGTGGATGTGGATTGCTTGGGGGGGCTTTCGTCTTCAGTGGCATGCACGAGCGATGGTGTGAGATTAGGATGCTTTCACATATTTGGAATTTGGGAACCTAATGGTCGCACGTGGATGTTGCGATGGGTCTGAAAGTGAGGAAAATGAGAATCGATCGAAACTTGACACGACAAAAGCGGATATGGTCGGTCTGCTGTTGTGCAAAAATGTAACACGATGCTGGCGGTCCTGCAAACTGTGCTTTTCTAACCCTGTCCTGTTGCATTCCACTTCCGGGATAAATCCTTCATTTACACATTATGATAATCTGACCAAATTTGAGCATTTACCCTCCATTCAATGTCAGTCAAAGCCAAATTTTCAGATGTCTTCAAACAATTATCCTGCGGTGGCAGATGTGTAAAAACAGGTAACAGATACCAACAACAAGACCAAATGTGCGTATTTTTCCTCCTTTCTGATCAAATTCGGAAAACGCCTGATTATCAAATGTCTCTAAATGATTATCCTGACCGATAATCCTGTGGTGTAGGCTGTGTAAAGCAGGATACTCAAATCGACAATCGGGCCAAATTGAGCATTTTTCCTCCCTTCTAATCAAAGTCAGTAATTTTCGATGATCAGATGTCTTCCAACGATTATCCTGTCCGATTATCCCATGGGGTGAGGTGTTTTAAGCAGGGTACACACATACCAACAATTTGACCAGATTTTAGTTTCTTTTTTTTTTTCTCCTTTGCAATCAAAGCCAGCAAAGGCACGAGCAATATTTAGATGACGGTTAACTTGACCGAGTGACCTGTGGTGTGATGTGTGTAAAACAGGATATACACATAACGATAATTGGATTCAATTTGTGCCCACAACCGGCTTCATATTAAAGTCGGCAAAGGATATATCCAAAATAATATCCTGAGTGATTATCTTGTGTGTGTGTGTGTGTGTATGTGGTGTGGACCGAGTGATTTACCTCCCTCAGTCAGCTCGTAAAATCTTAAATGTTAAACTTGTACAATAATTACAATAGCAAATCATTAAGTATTCTGCAATTTTGGCGTGAAATGGGACAGCTGAAGTTACCAGCGATGCTTGCTTGTTATTCTTTGGATTTTCATGCTGCCTCTCACAGGTCAGCCACAGTACTGCAACAAATATGGTTACATGTGTGTCATCCTGTGTTAGTTATTTGATGCACACCACGCACACAGTAAAAGGATGATTTTTGTGCACGTCGTGTGCGCTCGCTCTCTCACATTGTAAAAATGGGTTAAGAACTTTAAAAAATTGCGCGAGTGTGTACCCTGCTTAATGGCTTTTGTCCTGTTGACATGTCTGGGAGTCGATGTGACATTGTGCTTTGAGCGAATCTGCCTGGCTGCCATTTTTCAAGGCCTCCAGTGACCACTTTAAGGTTGGCACCCAAAAAAATTAAAAACTATAGCACCCATAAATACGGCCAACATTCATTTGTGACTCCAATTATTTTGGACTGTGGCACAATACATCAAATAAATAAAAAAATACCAAATCAAGTTCGTTTATTATGGTCATAATTATGCTAAATCCAATTTATCTTGAATTTTGTAACTTTGTGTTTTACTTCTGTTAATTCCCAAGGAAACTGAGAAAAATTCCCGCAATTTGGCAACAATAATTAGGAAGTGACGGACAGGAAATGATGAGAGCAAGGTCGCTCCAGTGAGCGCCGAACGGACGTCAAAAGCCCCAAATTTGCAAATCCTCGGCAAACGACACAGTTGGCGGTCTCTCTTCCAAGAACAAATCCAACAATGTTTGTTATTGCTGCGGTCCAGATCGTGTTCCACGCACGGTGACCTGTGATCGGTCAGTCACATCCAGCCTGGAGGATAAAAACCGGGTGAAGGAATTTTTGTCATAAATCTTTGCAACATAGTTTTGTTTTTTTTTCTTCTTAAGAAAATTCGTCTTCTCTATGTTTGATAATAAATATGCAAGGGAAAAATAAAAGATGAATGGGAATCCGGAAACCCAACACACTTATATGGGTTTTTAGGACTGGTGGCTCAAAACCAGCAGGAATCCTCTTCGGGGGGACTTGGAAACACACAAGACTGTGCTCTCTTGCTCGCTCTCTTTTTGACATCCACTCGGCCCTGTAGCTCGCGTCCCGAGGTGGGTGGGGGGGATTGGAAGGAGTGCCATGTATGGCTGTTCTGAGTGGTGATGCAGAAGAAGGGGCCTGGGGGAGGGGTCCGGGAAAGTCTCAGACCAGGGTTCCAGGTTTGGCCTTGTCCCGTCTGTACCACTGCACATCCGCCAGTTCGGAACAGGAGGGGCTGCCCAGGAAGCAGCTGTCGCTGAAGGACCTGCCAAAGGGAGGAAACGGAGATCAGAAAAACAAGAAAACGTGCAGCGCCTCCAATCCAAAGTCCAACCCTACTGTTGCTATGTGTACACCCCAAGGCTTCAGTTCAGCCAAGTCAGCGTGAACTTGGCGTTTTCTTCGGCTATTTTTGTGACACTTGCAGTCTTGCAAATTCAAGACAAATGTTGAAACTACGATCTCGCCCAGCACGGATAAAAAGCGATGCACGTGACAGCGGGATGTGACGGGCAAATGTGACACGCTGCAATTGTTGTGGATGTTGGGTGCGATTTTTAAATTGCCACGAGAGTCACGGTGACGATGAGGAATCTACTTTTGACCTTGACGATGTCCGTGGCAGGACATAGTGGGTAAGTCATATTTGAACATTCAGAAAATGAGCACAAACACAATTTTTGACATGCACGCTAAATTTATAGGTGCGGCAAGCAATCGATTAATTAACAACTAACGGATGATGAAATTCATCGACAACTAGTTTGAAACGACCTTAAAATTGCCTGAACCCATTATCCTCTCAACAGCAAAGATTCTCCAATGTACTCCTGCATCCAAGCAGACTGACTGCTTGGGTCCAATCAAAATAAGACATTTGCATACTGATTTTACTTTGGAAATCGATGATCAACATTTATTGATGAATTGAAAAAAAAATAACTGACAGATTAATTAAAATAATTGTTGCAGAGCTACTTGATATTATAAGTTAGAAACGAATTAAAATTAAGCAGTTATGCTCACGGTTCAGGTTTCGTCGCATTGTGCATTTGGTGTGCGTCTTGTGCCTCTTTGTCACGCTTCTCAAGGCAAACTTGTGTGGAACGTGTATAGGACCCGTTTTGTTGCGTTCCAGCCCTGTGCAGCCCATCTTGTAAAACGGGCCCGGCGCCATGCATTCTGTAAGGGTTGGACATGGTAGGCACACCCCGCGTGGGCTTACATATTCTCCGTGGCCACAGTAGCCCCATTTGCCCTACGGAACTTTAAGAAATAATATCTAAAATTAGTGTGCCAGGAGATTTCTGGCAAATGGGGCTGGTATGGCTATCGGGCACAAAACCTTACATAAAAATTTTAAAGGCTTTTTTGATCAAATAAACACTGCTAATGCCCGGGCCCGACATATAAACAGGAAGTTACGGCACCTGGAAGGACATGTGACGTGAAAAAGGTCTATGGTCCCTTTTACAGCATACACATCTTTGTTTGTGAGCCACAATAAAGCGTCAAGTAGATTTGCGAGCAGAAATTAGTGTTAGAAATATAGGTTGAAGCCAGAAAGAGAGCAGCGCTATGGCCACCACCACAAAGAATGCATAGCTCATGGTGGAGGTCTCTCCAGGACTAGGGACAGTACCTCTAGACACCAGAGCCAGGCCGAAGAGGAGACTGACAGACGTCCTCAGTGGGAGAGCTATCTGCTGTGCCTCTAAAGCAGGAGACAGGACACATACAGACACACACACACAGACACACACACACACATACACACGCACACACACACAAGGGAAGACGTGTTAGTATCGAATAGAGAGAGTCTCGTTGAGGAGGAAAGTTAGGCTGCAAAGTGGACAAAGTGTGAAGCCAAACAGCAGAGGGGCAAGATGAAAGAGTGGTAGCGTGAAACCTGCCGAGGGTGCGCCGGGGGTCTTACCCGCTTTGCCAGTTGAGGATGTGCTGTGGACTGCAGGGGGGTGTGGGCGTGGCCGCCTGCTCGCTGGAGGGTGTCACACTCCTTTGGCTGTGTGGGGACGCCACTAACGTTGGGGGTGGGGGGGGGATCTTTGGTTAGGAACGCTGATAACATTGGCACATGTTCAACACACTGAGTTGTTCTTAGTTCTACAGTCTAGCCCAGGGGTGTCAAACATATGGCCCGCGGGCCGGAACCGCCCCCCCCCCCAGGAGGTTCAATCAGGCTCGCAGGATCATTTAAAAGTGAAAAAATGCATAGACACGAAATGCATATTTTTAATAAGGTGCAATTCATGGAGTATCCGCTAGGGGACACACTGTTTTGATCAGAGTAGAAGGCAACATTGTTATGATCAGAGAAGGAAACAACAGCACTGTCACTGAGACAGACCCAACACAGCAGACGCTACCAAGGACGTGAATACTTTATTCTTTACACATTTAATAGCAATCTCCTTAGTTTCTAAGATGTAGGCAGGGATTAAATTTAGATTTTATATGCATGTGTAAATGGTTTAAAAATTCCTTTCTTTATAGATGTCGTTTGATCTTAAAATGCATTACTATATTTTTCAATACCATATTACTTGTTAAATTTTTGTGCCTTAGTACAATCAGTGGGATCAGTTGCAATGCATATATGTGAATGATAAAAGTAAATTGCACATTTGTCTAAGGAAATCTAAGGTGCTTCATAACATATTTTGTAAAAAATATGTTCATTAAATTTCAACATTTTCCAAATGTTCTTGTGCTTCTTTAGACCAAAACAAAGGAAAGACATGTTACTTTGGATATTAATAGCAGAGTATGGAAAATTTTAATGGTCCGGCCCACTTGACATCTACTGAGGCCGTATGTGGCCCACAATGTAAAATGAGTTTGACACCCCTGGTCTAGCCTATGCCCATCTGAATTTGGGCGAGGCGGGGTACACCCTGGATTGGTCAACAGCAAATTGCGGGTCACGTGGACAGAAAACCATTCATTCACATACACAACACAGGACCATGAATAGTTTTGAATCAACCTAAGATTGTGGAATGTGGGAGGAAGTCAGACTACGCGGAGAAAAGACATACAGTACAACCAGCATAATATTATTCTTATTGCCATTATGAAATGACAATCTCATGGAGATGTGCAAGCATGATGAAAGGACGAGTACCTGGTGAACACTTAACGAGCGTTCCCACCCGGCTGCCCCGTCCATGTCCCAGCGTGCCTTGCTGTGACCCTGTTTCAGAAGAGGCGGATACTGAGTGGGAGTGACTCCTCTCCTTCAGACTCCCGGATGACCTCTGGTACCAGCAGCGCAGCTCTTCCGACACGGCCGCTCTGCCCCCTCCTCCGCCGCTCCCCTCGCGCCCCAGCGACGGAGTCCGTACAATCTGCGAGCGGGACGGCGTTAGTCGGCCACCGCCCTCGCTGCCCTCCTCCCCTCCCCAGGCCTCCTTGTACAGTCCCCCGGCCGTGTAGGAGCTGGAGGTCTTGAACTGGGCCTTGACACTGTAGTGGCCCTCCTGGTCACTCTCTAGGCTGCGCACCACCACCGGGTTGGGGCTACCCTCCACGTACAGCGGGTACTCTTTGATGCGGTACTGTGAGGACGGCTGGCTCTGGCTGTGGAGGTAGACGCCATGTTGTCCACCGCCGATGCCACCTCCGCCTGAACCCCCAACCGAGCCGTTCTTAGCTGCCAGGTTTGGCATGGAGCCCGAGTTGGATGACCCCAGGTGACCGGCGGACCTTGAAGGGAACATGTGGGTCAATCACAAAGAAGAGAGGTGCTACGAAAAGGAGAGCTTTGCTAACATATGGAAAGCCGTTTGAGCATTTATTCTGTACCACTGACATGCAGTTTAAGGTCTGTGTTGTAGTCGGTCGACTCTTTGTTCTCACCAGTAAGACAGTTTTGATCACATGAGCCCTATACTGGCCAACTTGCACTGGTTCACTGTCCACCCGAGATGCGATTTTAAGATTTTGTTACTTTAAATATTACATGGCTGACCAACTTCTGATTTTGCTGACTTAGTCATACATATGTTCCATTCCGAGACCTACACTGGCCATATGCTGGTCTTTTGCTGACTCGGAGGACTAAAATAAGCCCGCAGGTTCTGGCGCATTCTCTACTGCTCCTCCAGTACTCAGGAATGTCCTACCTGTGGAAATTTCAGCTACTACCTGCAGAAATGTGAAATCTTGACTCAAGACTTATTTTTACACTCTCATGTTTAGTGAAACCACATCTCGAAGGAATATTGCATATTTTCCTACTTTAGAAACTGACATCTGGATTTTACCCTGTTTTACTGACAATTCTCCTCTCTACTTCTCACCTCCTCTCATGCTCAAAAAGGGGGCAAGGTGTCAATGATCGATGTGAGATTGTTGCTGAAAAGATTTTGCACCGACCAATTGGACAAGATATGAGATGGCCACTTCTCCAGAGGCGTTTGATGTAGTGGATTCTGCATCACCCGACAGAGGCAGATTTTGAGGAAGACCCATCTCCCGGAAAGCTCTTTAGGGCAAGCCGGTTGAGCATTTATTTGATATTCTATTGGTCCACTGAATTGTCGTACTACCTGTACATGGACATTAAACTGAATTTCAGGATACAGAATAAATGCTGAAATGCCTCGTCCTTCCGCCTACCTGTGCCTCTGTCGCTGCCTGGCTTTGGACGGCGAGTCCTCCCCGAGGGTTGAGTAGTTAGGGTTGCTACCGGGCGCTAAGGACCCGCCGGCCGGGTAGAAGTGCTCTGAGCTGCTCTGGCTGGTGCAGGAGGAGCAGTCGTCCAGTGGATCGGAGCCGTTAGAGGTCCGCGTGGGGCCCAGGAAAAAGTCTGGGCTTCCCAGCGTGCCCAGGGCGTGCGAGTGCGAGTGTGGGTCTGGGTCTGACGTCAGGAGCTTGCCCTGGGACTCCAGGCTGGAGCTGCGGTTCCTAAAGTGCTGAGCGAGACTGTGCAGACGTGTGGGACTGATGTCCACTGACCTGTGGGGCACGCAAACAACACTTCGGGGTTAATATTTGGGGCACACACATTCACACATTAAAAGGGAGACATTTTATAAAGATCCCTCCAACTTGATGCCAAAGCCAATTTACCACAACTACCATGTGCACCCCTAAATGCCACAGGAATCAAAAAGGTGCTGATTTATGTGATGTCAAACTCATATCAGGGCTTGTAATTGGCCCGTAGCTTTACAGTATGAGCAGAAACAGAAAGAATGAGATTGAGGTTCAGTTGCAAAGGACGGACCTGGTGGAATGTACGTAGTGTGGCGTCCGGGTCCTCAGGTCCGGTGTGGACGGCATGCTGGACTGAGAGTTCCACTGAGGGAGACTCCTGATGGGGCTGCTTTGCAGAGAGTTGCTACCGCCCGCTTCTGTGCTGCCAGAGCTTGGGAATCTTCTGTGACTAAAGAGAAAAAGAATGCTTTGGATGAATTGTACGCAAAATAACTCCTCAGGTGTCCCATGCCATGACGTTTTTGTCATGCGCCGTTGTTTAATAAAGGTTGGGAAGCACCAGGAGAGTCAACACGGCCTCCTACCTGGAGTGAGAGGAGCGCTTCTTGACTTTTTCATACGGCTCATCAAGCGAAGACTCGCTCCACATTTTGGGCTTGATGGGCGATTTGTCATAGTCGGCGCGACCGAAGTGCAGGTGTCGCAGCCCGTCTAGGGACTGCGGTGGCGGGGGACGACTGTGAGACGGTGGACGCGGGGGGAGGCCCTTGTGGGGCGACGCCATCGGTGAGAAGTTGGGGGTGCCTGTCACTTGGGGGTCGTCATCGTCCAGGACCAGAGCGTCAGACAGCGAACTATCTTCGGAGCCGATGTTGGCCTCTACAGGAATGAAGAACACCAGAAGGAGCTTGCTTTATGCCAGATTTGTCCGATTGTCACATTTTTTATCCTCTTGTTTAAATGTTTTTCGACAGTAATTTTTTTCCACATTTGTATTATTATTATGATTGTTATTATTATTTTTCAAGGTTTGTCATATTCTCAACTTTTTGCTAAATGTTTCTAGTTTTTTTTTGGGTCACCTCATGTACTTTTCAACCGCGTTTTTGTGGTCATATTTTTGTCAGATTTTTTGTCCAAGATTCATCATATTTTTGGGAGATTTGAAACCGTTTTGTTCATTCTTTTGCCATGATTTTATTCTATTAGAGAAGACACCACTATGTAAGAAGATACTTTCATGTGACGAAAACTCTAGACTGCTGGTACCTTCAATTATAAGCGAGGCCCTCTGCGTGGGCTTCTTTCCAGAGCGAATTCGATATTCATTGATGGAGTTCTCGATCTCCTGTAGCTTCTTGAGCGCATTGAGATAAGATGTCTTCCTCTGCTTCTTCAACTTCTTGCTGCTCACGTGCGGGTCGCTGGCCAGGCGCCGGGCGGCCTCGGTAATTTGTGACTGAATGGCGAACTCCCGCTCCAGCCGCTCCAGCTCTTCTTCCTGGGAGGAGCAAATGCAAGGATATAATGGCAACAACGTGGGCAACACCAGCGAGCTAAGTTAAGTTACCTACTCATGATCCAAAACCAACAAGAGGCTTAGTTTACAGAGGCTGTAAATTCTCAATGAATACGCAGGTTGCCAGAGAAAGCACGGTGCAGAAATAATTTATCTTGGTCAGAGCAGATTTTCTCACCGCTGAATCCTCTCTTTAGAAACACTCGGCACTCCAATAATAACAAGCTAGCTAGTGTCCGTAACAAAGACTGTCTTTCTCCACACTTCTGCTAGGATTTGTCAAGTAGGCATCACCAAGTCAAACAACTCAATACTACCCTTAAATTTAGAATCAAGTAAAGGGGTAGGCAACTATACATTGCATCATATTATATACGGGTGGCATGGCTCAGTGGTCGACTGGTCAACTCCACACCAAGTTGTGGGTTCGATCTTCGAAGTATCCTTCAGCGTTAGTGCACACCTTTATGAACCATTTTCTAATCCGCATGTCAGATCAACTCTATTACATTTAGCATGTTTTTAAATTAAACGATTGCTTAATTAAATTGTGACTTCATTTTTGGAACCAAACTACTGAAATAAAAGAACTTTTCAATTATTCTAATTTGAGATGCACCTGTGCATGTACTGTATAGTATATGCTGTACATAGTGAATGCCTGTATGTTCCTGTCATTGGGATCTATTCACTGGAGTCGACATGGTAGCGGTCTAAGTCAGTCCTGAGTAATCTCTTACACACTGCTAGAGTCGGTTTGTGTATGTGAAAGAGTGGCCAATGTTGACCAGGAAGGTTTGTGATTTGAAAAAGAAAAAAAAAAGTGCGTGGAAACATTTCAAAGCCAACAAATCTCGTCATTCAAAAAATACGAGAACCCACGCACATTCTGTCTACTGGTAGGCATGTAACCACAAGCTCTTCCTGTGAAGGGAGCTATTTTTAGAAGTAGCACAGTTCTGGGATTTTTTTTGGTTTCTTTTTTTGGTCAACCAGGGAACATTAAGAGAGATGTATCACAGATGACAGGTCCACCGTGTTTTGGGCTCTGGTGATTTCAGATAACATGACTTAAAAATTCAAATGAAAAATTCTTTTTCCGAGATGCTGAGAATCACCAAGGTCGCGGGAGTGAGTGCTTTCATTCAATTCTTGATCCCTGGGGTATTTTGACAAAAGGATGACACCGACTTGGTGTGTTTCAAGTTGCGAAAAAAAAACCTTGATAATGATTTACCTCCCCCTTTGGAAGAATCTTCTGCTCATCCAATTTGAAGGCAGTACCGATCTTTCGCCTCACTGTGGGAGCTTCCTCGCCTGGATCTAGAGGGTATTCCTTGGGAAGTTTCCCTGTCAGCTCCTGCAAATGAAAAGTAAAATGAGGGGGAACAATTGAAGATTTAGAAGAGCGGAGATTTTTTTTTTTTTTTTTCCAAGTCTTGGCATACAGCCTCTCTGATGCAGATGTTCTTGAGCTCCTCAAGCCTCTGCTTCAGCGTTTCCTCCAGTGCTTCCTGGCGGGCCCTCAGCGCAGCCAGCATGTCCTTCTTGGCTGTTTGGGAGCTGTCGGATTCCTGAGAGCCTGCAAAACAATCCGAGCGGTTAAGTGTCAGGAGAGTACTGTTATGCTGCTCTTTGCTGTTGTGGGGGTCTTGGCTGTCCGGGAGAAAAACGGAGAGATTGTCCATGCACCTGCACAAGTCTGCCAGGATGTTTACAGGGAAGTGAGTGCAACATTTCGATAAGGAAGCTGTTTGTTTCAAGGAAAAAGGGGGGCAGTGCAGAGGACAAAAGTCGCTGACGCACAATCTCTGGGGAGCCGGAGATGGTGCCAGTCTTGTTTGTAACACGCCTTTAAGTTTCAGACAAATTGCTCACACACAAACACACCGTCGCCCTCGTCTTGGGCAAAGACAGAAACAACGCAAGACTCACCCGCTGAGAAAGCTGTGGCAGATAAAAACAAATAAACAAACAAACAAACAAACAAAAAACAGATGGCTTTAAGTCACTCAAAGTTTGGATTGTTGGCGATTCACACATGGGCTTTGAAAGACACAATAATCCTTCGGATGGTGGACTGGCCTTTTATAAAGAGAACAGTGTCTGTTGTTGGTTTGGCGACCATGGATCACCTAATTTGGTCTGTAAGATTCTTAAAACAATCTGGCCCACAGCGTTGAGGCTCTTGTTACTGTTCAGAGACTTTATGCACCAAGGCAGAGATTCAATTCATTTGAGTGACTACTACAGCTTCTGATCATGTCACTTTAAAGAGAGAATGTTAGATAGATCAACATATGTACTCGTAATAACACACACTGTTCCAAATTATGATGCAAATTGTTTTTTCTTTCATTTTTATAGTCTATGCAAGTGGTACTAAGCATAATTTGAAGAATAAATTGAATGTTCCCAATGAAAGCAGTTTTTGTTCAAATGCATTGTTCCAAATTATCATACACAGCAATGTGTCAAGACATTTTGGAGTGATCAAAGAACTGAAAATGGACTGAATTTCCTTGACTCATTTCCTGAATTTGTAGCATTAGGAGATTTTATTTGCTGAAATCAAAAGCTAGATAAATCCAAAACATCTTAACATAGGACCTCGGATTTGATAGCAGTTTCGCAATTCTTCGATCCATTAAACTTGGGAGTTTTTGGACACGTTGTTCTTGAATTTCATTCCAAGATGTCAGAATAGCCTCCCAGACCTGCTGTTTGGATTGCAAAACATTATTTGCATAATATTTTGGACTGCGGTATATTACGTGTACAAATAATGAAGTACAAACTAAAATAGAGAGTGGCAGTGAGGGGGGAATAAAACACATTGATATGATCTAAAAAAAATTATATTGAAAATAATCCATCCGTCCATTTTCTAATCCGCTTCTCCTCATGAGGGCATGGTGGAGCCTATCCCAACTGTCTTTGGGCAGTAGGCGGGGGACACCCTGAACTGGTTGCCAGCTAATCGCAGGGCACACGTAGACCATCCGTGCTCACAATCACACCTCGGGACAATTTGGAGTGTTCCATTAACCTGCCACGCAAGGGTGGGAAAAGTATCGGCCGCGGGCTACATCCAGACAATGCTCTTAAATCCAGCCCACCGAACATTTTTATTATCACGTCTATTATCAGTCCTGTAATTTGATTGGTGTCAAGCCTGTTTTTATCACGGGCTACATTGCAGTTTGTTTCCACAAAGGAGCCGTAATGACTCTGAAAGCATATAAATGCGTATGATACCAAAACGTTTTGAAATATACTAAATACTTGGATATGCGTTGCAAAAAATAAGTCAGTCAGTCTCTCTGTGTGGCCTGGTACCAAATAGTAGCAAGCAGTGGTTGGGGACCACTGTTTTACAGCCTAACTATGGAGAAAAAAAAATAAAAACAAAAAAACCACACAAATGAACTGGCCCACCTGTCCACATTAAACATAAAATGCAATCGCTTGAGAACAAAAGTTTCTGTGTGTGTGAACATAAGGTGCCCAATCGATGGCCTCTCTATGGAGGCAGCTGTTTCTGTCCGTCCAGCTGTCAACCAACGCCCTGCTCGAATGCCACCACCCAAGAATGCACTCGCCTATTAATCTTTCACATTTACACCCCCTGCGCGGCTCTGAAACTCACACACACACACACACACACACACACACACACACACACGATCACACGTATATAGTATGTATGAACTAACCTGATGAGAGTAGACTGCCACTGCTCCCACTGATAATTTTGCCTTTGCTGCCCATGTTGGCCAGTTTGGACGTTTTCAGCGTTCCCGTTTCAGTGAGGTCGATGGCAATTTCGCTCAGACTGCGTGCTGCGTGGATTTTAGACTGGACAAACACACGTGCCAGAATCAAGAGGATGTTAAAATCAAGACCTGGCAGAAACTCAACCATCATGTCTGATGTCTGTATTGTAATGGATTGTATTCGTTGAAGTCACGTGTTCCTGTTTGCCATTTGGTAGCTCAAGCATAAAGCCTGTCAGTCATTCCTCTTATGCCGTAAAAGACACCAGAGGGTTTATATTGCGTTCCTCAAGGGCCCGTGGCGCTCAGACTAACAAGTACAAGTGTAGAATAAATACAGTAGTTCCAAAATGAAATAACAGAGAAATGGGGTGGAAAAAGTACAAAATGAAATAATAGAGGAGGGGGGGCAAAGAAACGTACACCTGGCAAACCCATAGTGCCAATTCAAACGTTTAGACTGGCGTACTGGAACTAACAACAAGAGCAGGACGACAAAAATAGCAAAGTCGGATAAAATAAGGTTGGTGTCAAGCAAAGAATAATGCCGTGTTCAGTGCGGCCTACCAGCTGGTATTAATGTTTTTAGTTACCGGTACTTTGCCACATCGAATAATAATAGTAGTGAATCATATGGATTTGACTTTATACTCTTACGCAATGCAGTTAATTTTTGCCAAGGCCAGATAATTTTTCCGGCCAAATTAGTATTTTGTTGCTCTTGTTTTTGTTTTTTTCCCCGCTTTTTTGTTCATTTCATCCTCCATAAATCCAAGTGTTTATACAGGTGCACAAAAAAAAAATCCCAAAGAGAATACTAGGATTAAAACAGTAACATAGATAAATAAATTGATAAAACGATCATATGCTCACTGGATCATAACTGAACATATAAATGACTCCTCAGCCTGTCGCGACTCAACCACACGATGACTGGGCAAGACGTTCATTTAAAATATTACATGCGCAACGAACAAGGGTGGAAAAACACACAGATAAGATTTATTGTTAAAAGGAATGGATGAGTCCAACGCCTGCAGCTGAGGCCTTGGGTGCTAAGCCCCCATTTTCGAGGACGCATGGAAGGGAGTGTGATGTGCGATGCTGAAACTAGCTGTGGAGGTTCATTTTTCAAAGGAGAAAAGCTTTCTCTGCTTTTCTCAATATCATCTCGAAGCAATACAAAATGAATACAAATGATATGAAATACAAATGAATCAAAACGATCAGAACACACGCGTTTACGGTTTATCTTTACATTCCCGCTGTTTCTTCTCCGCTAACTCAATTTTTTTGTTCATTCTCAGTCATGGTGTCTGACATCACGTAGTCCGAAAATGCTTCTTTTGACATCCTTGTTTGCCCTATTGTTTCACCCGAGAATACCACGTGCCTACTATTGTGAAGTAACGTTTTAGAAAAACACCATCTCCTCAGGTTTTTTTATTTGCTCCACAACGTGGCTGCCGGGTCGATTGGCGGGGTTCTGTGACACCATGTGTCTACAATCTACAATCTAGTGAATGGGTGAAAAGAAAATTGTTGACCTTGCTCTGCTTGCGGTCCAGATAGAACTGGTGTTGGCTTATGGCCATGGCCCAGATGGACTTGATGAGGGCCGGACAGGCGTACCAGGTATGCACCGCGATGCCGCTGTGGCCAAACGTCCTGCGTGTCACCGACGCCCTACAGTAGAAGCGGACACAAGGCCTCTTTATATGCACTGAATGCAAACAAATGACAACGAACCCCCGTTAATCACGGTGATGTTCCAGATGCAGCCGCAACAATGACAATTTGCAATATACCAAATAAACATAACCCCCCCCCCACCCCCACAACCTTCGACACCTCCTACACACTTTAAACACTTTTAAGATTATTTACATCCTTTCTAACACTTTGTAAATATTTTTGAACACACACAAAGAATGAAATTAAAAAATATGTAAAATACTGTATGCAGTGTAGCATCTGTGTTAGTTAGATGCCTTTAGGAGGCGGGGCCTGGTGACTTGGCATGTGATGTTGGCAATTGCGTGTGTGTGTGTGTGTGTGTGTGTGTGTGTGTGTGTGGGGGGGGGGGGCAGCTGTGGCCTACAGCATCACCTGCCCAAGTGTGCTCATTGTGTTTGTGTTTTATTGTTTTCCCGGGGTTCAATAAATAGCGAGTATGGCTCTCCTTTAAATTTTAATCGAAAATATTTTAATGTAATCATTATTTAGATTAAACTTTTTTACTATCTTTTAGTATGACATATTATAAAAATATTATCGTGGCTTATACGTCTTATTTGTGCTGCACATTTTAGTCCTCTGTCACATTTACAGTATATGTTGGTCATGATGGTGGTATTGGGTGTAAAAAGTTGAAGAACCCTGGCCATGCAGTTCCACAAAAAGATTTGCAATGTAAATGAACTAAAGTAAGCGGGCAAAGACTTTATGACAATTAGAGTACCACTTTACTGGCAATAAAAAGCTTCTCTGGTGCTTGTGAGAAGACGACGCACGTATAAGCCACACACGACGCTGGCGTGTTTGCTCATCCTTATTTAAACACACACTCATGGCCAGCTCACCGTAATGACAGCTCCTCTCAAAGAAAACACCGCTGCTCGTCGTTTCACCCTGTCCCTGACTGTTTTTCCTCCAGCCCCTCCTCCCCCCGCAACACTGCACATATGGAGCCATGTTAAATAAATACAGGCCGGGTCATTTGGGCAACAAAGCGGCCCACTCACACAGATGTTGAGTTCTTCGTGGGGTTCCCTTGTCAAGACTTTTTGACGTATTGTGTTTGTGTGCTGTAAGATATTAGCATTATTAGTTTTTTTTAATTTTTTTTCAGGGACGGGGGGAACCTTTCGGATATTATTGTTGGAAAAGAATTATAACATGAGAGAAGATATGCGCAAAAAGAGTGTTTGTTGAAGTGCATAACTGTACTGTCAGCTCATCCGATAGTTGCGTGCCCGAGTATCACATTAAACATCCATCCATGTTCTGCAGCGCTTACGGGCGAGTGTAACACTCCACTAAAAGTAACATGAAAGTCATTCACTGCCATGAACGTTTATATTTGTCAACAGGAATCCGATATTTCACGGTCATGGAGGAGAGTCTCGCCCAGCTCGTCTCTGAATAAAACCTTTTTAAACCGCTGTAATGACGAACAAATCCATCTAGATGGTGGTGTGTCATCGTTTTGGATTTGAGTAGATGAAGATTACGAGGGGAAATGCTGCCTGTCTGGACTATTGCTATGGAGGGAAAAACCTCTTATGCAAACAGAGTAAGTATATGTATAGTATAAATGGAGAGTATGTGTGGTGGTAGGTCGGAAGAAGTGTGTGTTGCGATTGGGAGAAAAGATGACTCAGTTGTATAGCTGTAAATAATGCACCATTTGGCTGTCAAAAATTGTTTCTCAGTCTTATTTTTGTTTTTTTAGTTTTAGGTGTTACAAATGCAAAAAGCTTTAGCACCAAAATCACTGTTCTGTTTTGTGTTCGCCGGTGTTTTAAGACAAGGCTGAAATCTGTGTGTGTAGTAAGGAACAATAAAGGTCGAGAAATATGACTTGCATCAAAATAATAAATGGGAGTCGAATTCAACAGCAGCAACATTCACTGAATTCATACATTTTAAATCGCGGTCAAATATCTATCTTGAGCGCACATGCATATAATCAAATTGCCTTGACAATCGATCTGTTGTAGAGATTTACCTCCTGGGGTCATGAACTTCCACGGAGAACTTCTTCTCTCGAAAATAGAGGTTCTCCAGCTGACGCCATTGGAACACCTGAAGTTTGAGGAGACAAAACACGGCCCAACAATGAGTCCACGCAACTTTGAAGAGAATCCTTGCCTCTACAAGCACCCCAAAGAGGAGGGGAAAAAAGACTGACAGCGCTTGATTATCGCGCGCTGTATAAGAAGCCGAAAGACATATTCCTCAGCATGTGTGCCGTTACATCCTCCACAACTTGCTTCACCGTTTGTGGGCGTGTGTGTGTGTGTGTGTGTGTGTGTGTGTGTCATCCATGCGTGTGTTGTTATGTACCAATTTGTCCAGACGATGTCTCCACATGTGGGTGTGTGAGTGTGTGTGTGTGTGTGGGTGTGTGTGTGTGTGTGTGTGTGTGTGTGTGTGTGTGTGTGTGTGTAAAAAGGGTCCAGGGGAGGAGTGATGAAGCGTTCTGTGAGCGCCACCCCCCGCCCCCTATCCCCTCCTCTCCTTCCTCTCTACAATTGAAGTGCCCTTGCTTTGTTTGATCAGAGCTCAGTGCACACACAAACACACACTGTCTGAGTCTGGTTCTCGTTAGGGGGAGAGAGTGAGACCGAGAGCGAGTCGAGAGGGCCCATTTGCCCTGATGCGAGCAAATGTACAGTCAACAAAATATTTGAGAAGTGAGGATAAAAAATATCAAAAAATCTAAAGTAAGGAAACTATAAGACCGGGCAGGAAAAGAGGGGAGACAAAGTTGGTCCAGGAATTTTAACAGCCTGGGAAAACAATGGAGGGACAGATGGGCTGTGCGGAAACGGAGGCAACAACGAGACAAGAATGACATAAACATAGCCGACAGTATATATGTGGTATGTGCCAGCGGATGTCTTGAATAGGGATGGAAAATGTTCACCGATAAACCATGATAACATTTGAAAATGTTTTGTGCAGTACTGTATCACCATTTGATTGTTGCTGTAAGGCTAAATCCTTGCAATTCCAAAGTCATGACTTTTCAGGAAATTACAAAAATAAATAAATAAATCATCTTTTTTGGGATACCAAAGACTGCATTGTGAAAGTTGATAAGACACCTTATATTGCTGTGATCCAACGTTGCGCACCAACATCAACACAAAGCCATCTGACAATCATGTAAATTTGCTAAAAATCACTTTTTAAGCTAATTTACGCTGTCACTGATTTGATTGGTAGGGACAAAGACGTGGCCTCCATTAGCCATGCCCATCAAAGCCTGCGCTCACGCCGAGGCCCAGACGAGAAAAATATCCTTTCAGATATGACATTTCAAACGTCTAAGAGCCATGAGTGATACAATAATTTAAAAAAACATAAACGATGAGCTGGTATGATTAATTCGTGAAAATCTGCAAGCATCCTTACTTTTGTGGTCAACATGCTTGCTTCTATTATAAGTATTACCAGCAATTCATTTTCAACAAATCAGGCCGTTTCAAATATGTGTGTGTAACTTAACTATTTACACTCATTTCTGTCTTAGAAAAATGTAAAAACTTTCCATTATGATGTGGCATAATGGTGCAAGGCTTTCACAGAGTCAAGAAGAGACGGAGGTTGTATGACACTTCTCCAACAGTTGAAGTGTCCAAGAGAGTTTTTTTTGATTTAAATGTAAATTATTTGGTTGCTAATTTGCACAAACAACAGACCATGTGGGGACTGACAACTGGTATCAATTGGTGAAAAAAAAAAATGAATGAACATATTTGAACAAGATTCTCTCACAACAGCCACGTTATATTGCGATTATCATTCATACTGCAGAGTGAAATTCTCTGTTTCTGGTTTCTCTTTGCATTCTGCGATGCACTGCGTTATTTGTTGAAAAAGGTTTTAAGTTTACCGATGCGGGTGAGCTGGAGACTATCTCAGCTGCCTTTGGACGGGAGGCGGAGTCCTGGACTGGTCACCAGCCAATGGCAGGGCACATAGAGACAAACAAGCACTCACACTCACACCTAAAGGACGATTTTAGTCTTCAGTGAAGCGAACATGTATGTGTTTGGAATTCTGGAGGAAGCCATAGTAAACACGTAAACTCTACACAAGAACAACAACTGTTATCGTTTTGGTCATGATAATCGTGACATTAAAAAAAATGCGAAATGTTCTAACCGTTTCATCTCACGTCTTGGAGAAGGAAAGTAGTCCCTTATCAAACTTTATGCTCAATGGCGTGTGAAGCGCAAATGTAGCGTGGTGCTAAATATAACAAGTGGGGGCAGATAGTGAAGGACTGTATGTGTTGGCCAGAATAATGGCGATAAGAGACATTTATAATTCTGTTCAGACATGACATGTTTGTACTTACTTGCTGACGTATGCCTTCATTTTTAGAAAAGAAAAAAAAAAAAGTCTGTCAAGCCAGAGTAGCGCAGAGCTTGGGAGTCATGCACATGTATGCTATAAATCCTAAATCCGAGACACGAAAATACACACGTCACCGCACAAACATTCACATGCAGATGCCGAGCTGGTAGATAGTCTTTAACAATCGAGCGCTCGTATCCTGAGTATGACAGATAATAAAGGTCAGATCTGATAAAGAGTAAAGGCCTTTCTTCGGTGTACTGGAGAAGAATAGTTTTAAAATAGCCTCGGCTGGGGTATTATTCTTTTGGACTGCTGTACTGCTGCGTCCATGTGGGTGGGGTTCTGGTGTATCCAGCCGTCGTCATGGCAAAGCCTGTACACTCTTTCCTGTTGTTTGCATGGGACTGTGCCATTTTGGAAGGATGACATATCTGGAAAAACTAATGGGAACCGGCTGGATGTCTGGATGCGTCTCTGCGCTCCAGCGAATGGGTGGGTGGGTACGCTCCAAAATGAAATCATATGATATGCCCCAAGTCAGTCACTCGTCAGGCCTGTCCGTCTACTCATGTTGTGGAAGTCTCCCATGTTGTGAGCTACAGTTACGTGCGCGCGTCTGTGTGTGCGCTTGTGTGGTCTGCGGTAAGCTGAGGTACTTTCACATCTCCAAACAACATGGTCTTTTACGGATGATCATTTAACAGAGTCATTATTTTAACTGTGGGGAAACAAAGATAGTAAATACACTCCAAAATAGCTCACATTAAGTGTTGCGTGTTTGACCTAACTGAATCAGCCTTTCAGTGGCAAGCAATGGCAGCGTGAGTCAATGATTACTGGAGCTGCTACACTTGACTGAGTGTTTCTTCTTCCTCTCTTTGAGTGAGGCATATATCTTCCTGCTGTGGACGTCACACCCTGTTTTCACCAACCAAAACGGTGTTCAATGGAATTAAGTTAAGTCTTGAGATATTCCATAACTACATTCAAGACGTATCATTGAAGAAAAGCAGGCAGTATTTTTGTTTGCGTGTGAAATTATAAAACAAACAAACAAACAAACAAAAAAACGACTGAATTCTCGTCATTAGGAAATTAGTGGAAAGATTTTCAGTAGTTTGACAAAAGTCACTCAATAATTTCATGGTTGAGGTCAGCTCAAGTTGAGACAGTTCAGAGTACACCGCTAAATTCGTGGCGTAAGATATTAGTCACCCGACTCAACTCATTGACCTGAATGAAATCTGTTGAGCTTGATACTAACAAACAATGCAAAAACAAAGAAAACTTGACCCATGGGCACAATTAGACTGCGCTTTGCACTACATTTACGCTGGACACGAAAACAGAGCCCCATGTGGGTCCCCCCCCCCCCTGCTTTAGCTGCTATAAGTTCTGAAAGTTAATGTTAACGTCAGCTTTTACACTAAATCATTTTTACACAATGGCTTACAAGGATGAAGTCAACTAAAACATTATCTGTACATTTAAAAGGGCTAAAAATGATGACAGACTGACCCTTGAACTGATTTATTTTGCATTACTTTCTAAAGGAAGCTAGCGTTTGTGTTGATCGTAGATGCTTTTCACTGGATGGTGACAATGTGTATGATGGAGGTTTTGAGGAGAAAGTGGTGGTGGGGTGGCTGATACTTGACAGACCAGTGCCTCAGAGAAGCTGTTGCTATGTTAATAATAACGCTTGATAAGTCAGTTGTGAAGGAAGGTTGATATGTTTTTTTTTTTGCCCAATCCTTCTTGCCGCTTCCATTTTACGACGAAAATGCTACACACTGCAACGATTCATTCAGTTCAGAAGTAATAAGTGATAGAGTGAAAGACAAATAAGTATTAGACGTAGTTCATATCATTTTTTTTTTTTTTTTACTATCGAAACAAAGTTAATTTAGCTTCTAAAACTGCAAACTCACACCTCTTCGCTTGACGACTTCTGTTACTCAAACACATAGACAAAACATTTGTGGCAAACAGGAAAGCTTCAGCAGACGGGATGTATTTGTCAAGTTGGCGAGTTCATCACTCAGTTCAGTTCCTGTGAGCGTGTGCAAAATGTGTGTGTGTGTGGGGGGGGGGTGAGGGGGCAGGGGAGTATGTGCTTCAGAGTGTGTCGGTGGCCGTTCAGCGTGCACTGATGGTGTTAAACCCATTAACACCTTGCGAGAAGAGGTAAAATGCCAGCAAGCAAGGCCTTAAACATGATGGAAGGGGGAGGGGCAGAGTTGACAAAAAAAAAAAAGGCTTTTACATGACAGCACTAATTGGGTATAAAGAGAGACCGAGAGAGCGACAGAGAGCACATGGGATGCTCAACATCGGCAGACATTAGTACCGAAGATGTGAAACACTGTCACTGTTCTTCTCTAACACAATGAGTTGACTCACTGATGGGGGGGAAAATATGAGTCGTGACCATTTAGTCACACAGGGAGAATGCGAGATGACTTTAAAAATGGCCAAAAGTGGAATTGCATATCGTAAGATAAAAAAACCGAACCAAAAAAAAATACACCCCAGTAAAATTCTGTTGTCTGAACGCAGCGTTATTTTAGTCAGACTCATTCCTGGTGGGACAGTACATGTAAGCCATGATATGGGTTGGATCACATTTTTTTTTTTGGGTCAATGTAGGGTACATTTTCAGTTAGTATTTTTGACATCTTTATCTTTCTATCTCTTTATTTTGCTTGTTAGAAAAAAACTGTGTGTTGTAATGTACTGAATAATCAAACCTATTTCAAGATAACCATAATTTAAATGGATTGCTTTCGCATGGTAAATTTCCTCTCATTCCTTGACTACTCATATATGCATGCGACTAAGGCTATCACAAACAAAGCTTTTTAGAATCAGTTATCCGCTCAATTATTCATTGATTGCTGCTGCCCCCCCAATCAAACACTGCCCAGTTGCTATATTTTTGGTGGGGGGGAGGGGGGGGGTAAAATGTGTGACGGTGAAAAGCACCCATCTACAAATAACCTTTAAATTTGCCAAAGTTGATGTATATTAACACTATATTCAAGTTCAAGTCAAGTTTATTGTCAAATGTGCTGCACGTGCAACATACAGCACAGATGAAATTTCTTTCCTCATGAGAGAGAAGAGCCGCTGCGGGTGCCGGCGCCGCCATCAAAAGAACAGTTAACTTCACTTCAAAGAAAACAATATTTTCGTTTAAGCTGGGGTCGGGTGTCATGCTCTCTTTTCGGGTAAAGTGGCTCTCACAGACATTTACGCTGCTCCTTTGGACCGCAGTCGACGTGAAGACTTATGGCCCGCTCATCGTCATGAGTACACAATACCGTGTTTCAGTCTCCACTCTCCAAGCTCTGCCAGCTCCGCTTTGCAGTAATTACATCAAACTTTATTTTCGTCTTTTTTTTCCAGTTTCAAGCCACCACCATCCCTGAGCATCATCCTCTTCTAACTTTGTTACCGAAAGAGAGCGTCCATCAGAGACAAATGTTCATGCGATCAACACAGACGTGGCCAAACATTGGTTCCAGTAGATTTGAGGCAGAAGTTTTTCTCTACAAATTCTTGTGGTTGACTTAGCCGATTATTTCTCCCACCCTTACATGTGACAGTACAGCAGAATAAAATATGTGCAGCAAATTAAAACATACAAACATGAAAACCAAACACTACTTGTATAACAGTTGGATTAAGCGTGGGTCGAATGGTCAAAAAACTAAATTTGCAGCGTCTTATAAAATAAAATGTCAAGATATACAATTTTTTATCAAGTTTTATAAGGTGTAATTACTTTTTGAAGGGGCATGGTCTAGTGAGAGACAGCAGATGGAGTCAGTCGATAGGTTGGTTATTACAGAGAGAGCATCCATTTTTTGCAAGTGTTCTCATTTTCTATTTGGGCGTTCCACTGTTTGTCCTGTTCAATAAACAGCTGAATATTTATTGGAGACTGTGGCTCTCCTCGTTCAGATGTTAGGCCATTTCAGTGCCTCTAAATGCTAGTTTTTCTTACTTCAATGAAACAGCTGTGTAGCTGAAAATCCTGCGAATTGCAGCACTCGTGAGTCAAGGTGCCACTGTATGTGCTTCTTTGACCGACTGGGGATAGCAGGGACACTTTGGAAGGTCATCTCACCTTTCTAGGCTTGACTTTGTCCTGATGGTCATACTGAAATATGCCTTTATAGCTCAGTCCCAGCCACCATGGGATCCCCTGCTTATCCTGTGACAAAACGACAAGGAAAACATCACCTGAGTGTGTGCGTGTGTGTGTGTGTGTGTGTGTGTGTGTGTGTGTGTGTGTGTGTGTGTGTGTGTATGATTTGACAGCAAGAGAAATAAGACAACCAAAAGTCCGGATCGACTCAAGCACCATTATAACCTCATACTCCCTGCTTTAAAGTCCAGAAGGAAAAACAACACATGTGGTGAAAAGAGGGTGGTGGGGAAAAAAAACGAAGGCAGAGTAGTAAAACTGTACCTTTACGGCATAGTAATGTACTCCATATGTGGGCAGGGACTCCACAACGCTCATGTAGCTGTGAGGATGAGGAACGGACAACACATGTGAGACTTGAAGCCAAACGGGCTAATCGCGCTCAAGTGGCGCTAACACTCACTTTACGATAGCTTGTCCTCTGGACTGTCCGTTGAGCTTCTTGTAGTGCTCGATGACCCGCTCCTCACTGCCAAAGGAGAAGAAAAGCTTTGAAAAAAAGAAATACAAAAAAGAAGTCGAGAAAGGAAGAAGGTCAGGAGGTTTGACTATCACCAGTAGGCCAGGGACGGATGCTCCTTTAGGGCCTGAGTGGGCAGAGCAGGGAGCTTCTTTAGGTCAGACCTGGTTGCGTCGTTACTAGTAGGGGAGAGAGAGACCACAAGGCGTGGTCAAGACATCTTTTTCATAAAGCTTTGAAGTGACACCGATGAACTGCAGCGAGACAACCGTATTATGTTACGCTGGAAGAGGGACATTAAATCAAGTGAGAAGACATTAAAGAGTGATAGCGGATGCTCTGTTCCGCAGACACAGAGGAAAGAGTCAAGTAACAGGAAGACACAGCGCAATAAACACGCATATTAAAGTGATATTAAAAAGCGAAAAGATGGAAGAGGGAAAAGACAGAAAAGCGTCAAAGAAGCACTGAGCCAAACAGACTTGGCTTTGGATGGAGTTTTCAGACCGCCGTTGGCAGGAGGTCACGAAAACCTCGCAGTAATCCTAAAGTCTGTCTGCCAAGCCCGGAGAGGATTGGGGAAAGCCCTGGGAACACAACCGTCTAGGAGGTGAGGGACAGAGAGAGCTCCCAGCAAAAGTCTGCCTGGTTCTTCGAAGTATGATCCCATTTTTTTTTTTTTTTTTTTTTTTTACAATCCCATTTTTTTTTTTTTTTTTTTTTTCCTTATTTGTTTTCTTTTTTTTTTCACAATCGTGTGTGCGTGTGTGTGTGTGTGTGTGTGTGTGTGTGTGTGTGTGTGTGTGTGTGTGTGTGTATGATTTGACAGCAAGAGAAATAAGACAACCAAAAGTCCGGATCGACTCAAGCACCATTATAACCTCATACTCCCTGCTTTAAAGTCCAGAAGGAAAAACAACACATGTGGTGAAAAGAGGGTGGTGGGGAAAAAAAACGAAGGCAGAGTAGTAAAACTGTACCTTTACGGCATAGTAATGTACTCCATATGTGGGCAGGGACTCCACAACGCTCATGTAGCTGTGAGGATGAGGAACGGACAACACATGTGAGACTTGAAGCCAAACGGGCTAATCGCGCTCAAGTGGCGCTAACACTCACTTTACGATAGCTTGTCCTCTGGACTGTCCGTTGAGCTTCTTGTAGTGCTCGATGACCCGCTCCTCACTGCCAAAGGAGAAGAAAAGCTTTGAAAAAAAGAAATACAAAAAAGAAGTCGAGAAAGGAAGAAGGTCAGGAGGTTTGACTATCACCAGTAGGCCAGGGACGGATGCTCCTTTAGGGCCTGAGTGGGCAGAGCAGGGAGCTTCTTTAGGTCAGACCTGGTTGCGTCGTTACTAGTAGGGGAGAGAGAGACCACAAGGCGTGGTCAAGACATCTTTTTCATAAAGCTTTGAAGTGACACCGATGAACTGCAGCGAGACAACCGTATTATGTTACGCTGGAAGAGGGACATTAAATCAAGTGAGAAGACATTAAAGAGTGATAGCGGATGCTCTGTTCCGCAGACACAGAGGAAAGAGTCAAGTAACAGGAAGACACAGCGCAATAAACACGCATATTAAAGTGATATTAAAAAGCGAAAAGATGGAAGAGGGAAAAGACAGAAAAGCGTCAAAGAAGCACTGAGCCAAACAGACTTGGCTTTGGATGGAGTTTTCAGACCGCCGTTGGCAGGAGGTCACGAAAACCTCGCAGTAATCCTAAAGTCTGTCTGCCAAGCCCGGAGAGGATTGGGGAAAGCCCTGGGAACACAACCGTCTAGGAGGTGAGGGACAGAGAGAGCTCCCAGCAAAAGTCTGCCTGGTTCTTCGAAGTATGATCCCATTTTTTTTTTTTTTTTTTTTTTATACAATCCCATTTTTTTTTTTTTTTTATACCTCATATGCTACCTTTTACGCTCAGGTATGATAGAGCTTTTTTACCCAGTACCTTTTCTAAAGACCTTCAAGATCAACTTACATGCTTTTTACAACTGCGGTAAATTACATATTTACGATTAGGGAAAGGAAACCATGTACATATTATTTATTCAACAATAAACTGCTTCCGAACTGCTACTGTATCTGTTTTGAAAGACGTGATCATCTATACAGTACACATGCACACACACACACACGCACGCGCACACAGCTGCAATGACGCGCTGCTGCGTTCCCAACGCAACCATCTGTGGGAAACTTGTTTGAGCAGTGCTTCAAGGAAGGCACTCCTTGCACTGGGAGTAAGTGGACTGTATTGGAGGCTGAGAAACAGCATGCTTCAGTTACAGGGAAAAGTTGCATATGGCTTTGTAGACCTTATAGGGAGAATCATATATGAGTGTAAGGCGAGGGGGAGGGAGAGAGAGAGAAGCGGGCAAGAATGTCACCGGAGTTTGTTACATTCCAACTCGGGCATGCAGGATGCTTGGGTGGAGGAAATGAGGTCAGACATGGAGGGTGCTGCAGTGTGTCAATGTTGCTGAAGCAAAGTGATGAAGGATGACACACTTTGAGGGCGATGTCACACACATGGACATGAAAAAAAAAATCGCGTGTGTGGGTGTGGGGGCTTCTTAAGGCCTCATGGGCATGACTAACACTGTTCACATGAGGCAATCCAGGCAAATGTAAAGGGAAACATTTTGATTTCCTTTACGAGACAATTCCATTTTGTAAATCAGATTCCAAATATTGGATAACTTTCGACAAGATGTTGGAATGTGTCAGTGGAACATTTGTGAGGTCAGAGGCTCGCAGTTTAGTTTGTTTCATGAAGTTGTGGTCCAGACTGTTAAGTTCTTCCATGCCAAAGTCATCCGAGTAAAACTAGCGATTGAGGGCGGTGTCTCAACACTTTTGTCTCTATGTATCAAGGAGTATTTGCGGTAAATTGCCTTGCCAGTGACTGTCGTGTCATTCACCCTCTTTCATTTCACACATACAGTACCGTCCTGTATATGAGTATGTAAAATGTTCTCTCTCATCAGCACAAGTAGGGTAGATTTACATTGCATGGTTAAATTGACAATTGGAATTTTTTTTCTCTCTCGTGTGACAATTGGAATATGTATTGTGGCAGTTAGAATAGGAAAGAAAAAACAACTCCATGGAATCTGATATCTTCATATCTGAGTCAGCTTTGCTAATATACTGTACACACACCCGCGTCTGCCCCAAACCACGCAAATTAACACATTAAAAAAGGCATCTTGTAAATCTCAACTACAACAAAAGCATTGACAATTCAATATAATTGAAACATGCTTACATTTGAGGCTTGTTGACCATTAATCAAGCTACCGTAAGTCATTGCTGTTGGTAGCCAGTGGAGGAATGCTAAAAAGGTTGCCCTCATTTAAATCAGTGGGGGGAGTCTGCAACTTAATGATGTGGTTTCTAATTTGTATGATTTATACATATTACAGTTTGGGTGGTCAACCGGTTAGCATGTCTGCCTCACAGTGCAGAAGTGCCATTTTGGCTCTGGCCTTCCTGTATGGAGTTTGCATGTCTTCCCGTGCCGGCGTAGGTTTACTTCGGGTATTTCGGTTTCCTCCCACATTCCAAAAACATACATGGCAGGTTAATGGAACACTTTAAATTGTCCCCAGGTGTGATTGTGAGCGCAAATAGTTGTTTGTCTATGTGTGCCCTGCGATTGGCTGGATACCCGTTCAGGGTGTGCCCCGGCTAGTGCCCAAAGACTGGTGGGATAGGCTCGGGCGCGCCCGCGATCCTCGTGAGGATAAAGCGGATTAGAAAATGGATGGATGGATAGTTTATTTGTCACTGCTTGGTGCTGGCGTGTATGGATTTATGTGGGTGTCTGCACATGTGATTTGATTCTGTAGTGGAAACACAGCCACACTGGAAATGTGTTACTTAGCCATAGATGCAAGTGAGCCTTGTTAACATGCTAATAGCAACGCTGATGTAATAATGACTCCAACAGTGCTTATGGTGATTTGTGTGGAGTCAGTTTAATGAAATAAAAGTGAATCACAGTGAATCAGTGAGAAAGCAGAAACAAGAACGGTGAAAGGTCTTACCTGGTAAAATCACTTTTAGCCTCCTGCAAAATGACAAGAGGGATTGTGAGTGTAGGAGTATTTCGCGTGTAACATAAAACATTGCATTGTTAGTTGTTGCAATCACGGAGGAACATGACACTACCTTCTTTCAAAGCTTTGAGAGGAGATACAGCGGAAGCTTACCTCAAGAGCCGTCGCTGGTCGTTTTTTTGCATTGTGTTGCAAGACCAAATTTGAGTTCCAAATGTGACATAATAGATGCAATTTTTTTTTTTTTCATGTGGGGTCATCATCCTTATCTTCTACTTGTGACTTTGAGTGTGGCCTGGTGAGTGACGTGGACGTCAGTGAATGAGAGTGTAGAGGTGGCCGGCTGATAAATGGCTAACCCATTAGTCAGTCTGCATGTTGTGTTAATTATGAATGAAAGAGTTAATTATTTTAATTATTAATGTAATGCATTTCTTACTGCTTGTTCAATAAAAGGATTGAAAGTGCACCATTGGTTGTATCTATTTTTGATGACTTTTGGGGGCATTACAATATATTCTAAATAGCAATGGTAGGCTGTATTAAATTAGCTCATATTGATGTTACTTTCCTTGTTGGCGACCGTACACATGCTGTTGTGACACAAATTGTATTTGATCGTCTTTTTTGAGTTAGAAAGGATCTCAACTACGGAAATTCTTGTTCTACATATCGTCGCCCACATAAACACACACACACACACACACACACACACACACACACACACACACACACACACACACACACACACACACACACATGCGCACACACAAACATATTTATAAAAGGACCCACTATGTGAACCAAAAGCGTCACCCAGCTGCTGGGTTACATTAGAAGTGGCTGAGGGCAGCCAGGAATGTCGATGGTCGCCAACAAAGACAGTGGAGGGCTTTTTAGGATTTCAACTTGGAAGCATCATTACACCATCGCTGACAGACCGACAAGCGCATTACATAATGACAGTTTGATCCTCGTCAATTAGCATCAAACGCTTGCGGCCACATTGCGGAAAGGGGACCGTTTCCTTGAATCAGATCAAGTGCGCCATTTGAGGAAAATGGGGACGGGAAGGCGGGCTTGCACTTTATCTTACTTGGAGAATGTAGGAAGCCAGCTCAAAGACGACATCGCTGTCCACTTCAATGAGCTCCTACAAGAGAGAAAAGCGACATATGAAGGACGTGATAGAAATGAGACACTTTGCCAAAATGGGGTGTGGACTCTCTGAAATGTCTCTGATGTTCATGTCTTGCCCAAAGACTGCCTGGTAATTCTTTTCATCTGCCTTCAAACTGCTGCCATCTCTAATTTCATGACCTCTTCATGTGGATGGGGCTGAAAGATTAAGGGGGAGGAGATTTGGGTGGCTACTAAATGTGTAGATTCTTCTTAACATTTTTGACTGCACATTTGCTTTGTAAAGGTTTATGTACACCTTTGGAGGCATGGTACATGTAATTCAAGATTTGGAAACCAAGGAGAACTTTTTCGGTCGTCTCTGTTTAGATTGGGGTGGGTGGTTGTGGATGTGAGTACTGGGTCAAGTATGCCAGGAATGCTCTCTTTCCAATACACCTCTTAATTGGCTTGGTGAGATCAGACGGCCGCGATGAAACACGAGACAGACTGAGAGCGTACCACCCACAACGTTCAAACACAAATGTGTCATTTTGTAACGCACACCAAACACGCCGGTTTCTTTCTGTGAGTGAGAAATCATGTGCCTGCTTTTTATTAGTATGAAAAGTAGATACCAATGATGGTGAGAACAAAAACAGCTGCTCCGATTTGATCCATTCATGATTCTCCAATATGTTGATGTTGATTTATGGAAGGGTGCCATCATTTTGGGTGATGGTTGCCCTCTTCTGGACAATACACTTAAAGGCCTGACTGGCCTAGCGGCATCAAAGGTCTAGCGTCGTGATTTTTAAAGTGTTAAAGTGGTAACATTTTTTTTCTTGGGGTTGTCCCTGCAATTTCTGCAAAATGTCTTGCTTGTATTATTAAATAAATGGTGGCTTATCTGTGCCACTGACAACACTGAGCAGAGGGGGAAGCAATGTCAATGTAATCTACTCTAATCATGACACATTCTTCTTTACTAGTACTCCAGAGGAGAACCACCAAATAAATATCATACAGTAATCATTAGTGTAAATTATAGCAACAGAAAGCTGATTTACCTTGTAGATGATGGACTTGGCATTGAGGAAAAAAAGCTCTATAGTGGCGTTGTCTTTCAAGTATGATATACTCTCAATGTAGAACCTGTAGATGAAAAAAAAAAACACCAAACAAACAGAAGACCATGTGTCATTTCCTACGTAGAAAATGCATATAAAACACCACACAAATGATTGTACTAACGTGCATTTACACTCTTTGGCATCTTTGTTTAGGCACACCTCTGCAGTCGAATAACATTTGTATTCCAAAAAGCATAAAATGTGCTGCTGGACAGCTGCTCATTTTACATTATGGTTCCTATTGTGGAGCGGAGCAGCACTGCATCATACAGTGAACTGTTTCGAATACTTTGCCCCTCTCGTATAACTAATTCAGATCTCCGACATGACATTCTAAGCATGACTGTGAAAGGCAGATTTATTGCTTGCAGCCACCGGAGCTCGTGGAACAGCACATGTAGCTGCTGGTGGCCACAAGGAGGGACTAAAGGCCCGTTTATCGTTAGCTGGAGGCGCACGTTCACGTCCTGAAACCACATCTGCTGTCTCATCATATTGCCTTGCAAACGCGTACGCGCGAACAGGCCCCCCCCCCCCCACACACACACACACGCACAAACACACGCACGCGCACACACGCTGGAGAGCGAAGCACAGTAACCCACTTCTGGCAGGGCATTTGTGAACCAGAGAAGTAACATAATAACGCCTTCTATTTTTAGCTCATGAAAGCATGCATGCATGTCGAGCTTGATGGAAGGCAGTATGCTGGGAAGGAAGCTATTCATTCTCAGCGCCCATGTTAAAAGATGCTTAACACTAAATGCATTCCTCCCACTTCTTGGCCATGCATCCAAGCCGCATACATTTTACACACGGTGAGCTGTGCATTTTGTATGTGTTTGGTGTCTTACTTGACTTAATCCACTTCTCATTATCACCACTACAAGTCATACGCATCTGCACACTTCCTCTGAGTAAGTACAGTATTTGTGAGTAAATTGAGACAGGATCATGATTATTTCAGTATGCATTTTTGGTCATATTTTTGTTTGGAGTCATACTGTGAGATTTTTCTCAGGTAAAACGGATGCCTTGGCTCGATAAAAGTTGGGAAAACACTGATTTAGGCTATCGGCAGTGAGAGCGAGCGATCGTAAGAGAATCAATGAAGGAAAGCCTTTATAGCTTTAGCAATTGAGAGTCGAGAAAATGGAAAACCTGCCCGATCAATAACCCTGTATTAATTAAAGCCACACCTTTGATGAGAGCTGCACACAGGGCAGCCTGACATTTATTAAGCCTAACACCAAATGCAAAAAAACATTCTTCTACTTTATGCCGATGAAAACAAGATGCTTGGGTTGGAAATGAATTCAGCGTTGACATTTGAGTTGATTGTTGTTCTATCTTGTATATGCCTATCCTTGTATGTGGGTGTGTATGTGTGTGTGTGTGTGTGTGTGTGTGTGTGTGTGTGTGTGTGTGTGTGTGTGTGTGTGTGTGTGTGTTTAATGTATTGAGGCTGGTGATTGGACTGAACAATGGCAGAGAATGTGCGAGTGAGAACCTTTAAGTGGGGTCTTAGTTCAACAGTTACACCGCCTCTTCCACATCCTATATCACCTTCATATATAAGGGCTATATAATGATAAATGTCTTGAGTTACGGACACTCTCTTTGTAATTTGCAAGTAATTGTAAATAGCCACATGCAGGGGGACCTCGGTTTTACGACGGCCCTGATGTGAGGTGTCGAGGGCATGAAGACAGGTGATGAACTAGTGTGCACAGCAGCATAAGATTTAGAGATGCACTCGAACCCGCGTCACTTGATTTTGAGTATCTGCTGGTACTTAGTCTCAATTTGGAACTAAGCCAATGCATTCAGAAGAAAAAGAGCACATTTAAACTGTCTCAACTCTTTTCATTTGAAATAAGGTATCCCAACAAGATACTTTTTTAATATGGTTATAAGAATAGTGCAGTGGTTTTCATATTTTTACTGTTTAATTAGGATCATACTACTGCATTACGACTTCATATACAATATTGGGTTACATCACCGCTCCAGGCATGCAACTCCATCATGAACCAAGAATACCCAATACATGTTTGGTACACCTTTGAAAAATTACAGGACCCAAGTTGGAAAACCTGAGGACAGGATGTAGAAAACATGTAAATCAACACAATTATTGTTATTAACCAAAAAAAAAAAAAGTAGGTGTATGAAGTATTTCCTGCTTTATTTAGAAATTATTGTCACATAATGCATTCGTTTAAAAAAACGTCCCTGCCGCACAGACACCACTGTTTTCCTCCAATTCCTCCGTGAGAGGAGACTAGTCCTTTGCCGAACAATCGTCGCATTGTGTCATTATTTTTGGTCCTCTTGTAAATGTCAACCTGGGATCGACTTCGCCGCAGCAGTGTTTGGCCCAGTGTACCGCGTTGCTACGCATGTTGCTAGCCAATGGGGAACTCTCCGGAGGGGAGCTGGGGGGGGTGCAGTGACATTATCCGGATGTATGTGTGGGGAACAAAGAACTCCAGTGGGCCAAAAACAAAGCCTATGCTTTTCACTCAGGGCTATCTGAGGTTGCATGCTTATTTGTGTGTGTTTTGGGTCAGCAGTTCATAGTTTTAGACGAGTAGCATTTAGAGTTGATGAACGACCAATATTTCACTGTTGAGAAGCTGCAGAGATGAAAATCGTTTTAACAAACGGGCACTCCTGGATATAAAAATGCCAAACAGCCTTTGGTGTGGGGTGGGAAATGGTAAAGCTTCCTTATTTAGAAACGCAGTGCATACTCTTGAAGTCAATGAGATTCCTGAACGGCTGAGGGGCTCCTACGCTGGGAGTTAACTACTGGGGTCAGAGCAATTTTACTGCGTCCGTAGTAACCGGCCGCCTTAATGTGCACCCCCTAACACACTGAGCGTCGGCAAAACACACAAACATAACGGCCCACTTTCCTCAGACACACACACACACCCACACACACACAAATCTGAAGTGGAGGACATTGCAGGGTGCTGACGAAGTGGATGAAGAACTCACCTGACACAGAAGTAGAGGACAATGGGCCCTGATTTCTTGGGGAATTCATGTTCTAACACTCTGCGGTCCAGCTGTAGCCAACTAAAATGGCCCCTGAGGAGAGCCAAAAAAACAACATCATTAACCCCCTTATTGAGATGTGCTGGAGGAAAATAATTACGCCTGCTGATGAGTCTGATTGTTTTTCCTGTTTTGCCCCTCCCCTTGAATGACATAAACAAAGGAGACACACGCACACAAGAGAGGTCGCATTATTTCCCTTTATGAAAATCATTTGAGCCTTTACATGACTTTGCATGTCACGAGGTGCAACTTGTCATTGTACATTCGGTCAACGAGCACACTGAATTCAGTGACATGTTTCCTCAAACTGTAGCCTCCGCTTGAAGGCTAAACGTATACTCCCTGGGTCAAGGGACACCATTCACCATTATTTTGCAGTATTCTACAAGATAATTGCAGACGCCAACTACTAGTGTCAAAGGAGGTTATCCTCATTTAAGCCAATGAGCAGAAGAGTCAGCCATGACAACGAAATGCAAATGCTTCTCCAGTTTCCTCCCACATTCCAAAAACATGCACGGTAGGTTGAGTGAACTGATCTAAATTGTTCCGAGGTGTGAATGTGAGTGTGGAAGGTTGTTTGTCTTTTTATGCCCTGATGATTCACTGGCAACCAGTTCAGGGTGTACCAAAATTCTCGCCCGAAAACAGCTGGTATAAACTCCAGCACCCCCGTGGCCCTTAGTGAGGATAAGCGGTTCAAAAAATGGATGGAAGGATGTGTGTGGTTCTGGTGCTGATGCCTCTGGAATAAACATGCAATTTGGGTTTAGTACACAGAGGTTGTTTCATGTGTTGTGTAATCAGTGTAACAACAGCCATATTAGATACGTGTCATTTAAAATGTACGGTACATGAAATTACAGATTAGACAACACTTCAGGACTCACGTTTCATCTGTGTATGCAATTCCGAAGTATTCCTTCTCCTTGAGGTTGAAGTGAGAGGCTACCAGATCCAGGAGGTCCTTAGCCATTAACTTGGGCTGCAGAAAGAGACATTCGATATCATCAGTAAAAGACGTTAGAGAACTGCAACATACACCGTTGTTTCTCAAAGTGACACTTTAAGTGGCCAAACTGGCAAATATTTAAAATATTTGAGCTTTGAAATTAAGTCTTCATTAAACCCCCCCAACCCCTCAAAAGACTCAGTTGTGATTTTAGGCCCACATTTTAGCCCATATCCCACCGAGCGTAGAACATTTGCGAGTGTTGGCGAAGGTAGCGACGGTTGAGTTCGCATCATGGTTTGTTCAAGGTCGGCAAACTACCTCCAGACATTTGAACACGAACACGTTCAAAATGTTTTTTAACATGTCAATTTGAAAAAATGTCTTGTTTTTGAATAAAAAGATGACAATTAAAACATGTTTTATTTTTATTTGAGTCATTGATTAATCGACAAAAAAAATCAACCGATTCATCAATTTTCAAAATAATCATTAGTTACAGGCCTTGTCTTTTTATTTTTGACACTTTTTACTCTCTTGAACGCCCAAAACCCGCTGAAAAATATATTTGACGAATATATTTGTCAGTGGGAGTAATGAGATGGATTATAGTTGATGAACATAAAACCGCAGTGAATGAGTTATGGGTCTCGTGGCTGCTTGGGACTTGAGGGAAACAGGGATCCTTTTTTGTGTTATGTCCTAGGCACCACATGACAATAACATATTGGTACATGGGGTAATGGCAAATAACATCTCTTTATTATCATTCGTGTTGCTTCTCATGAAGTTCTGTAAAAGAAACAGCTGTGTTTCAGAGTGCACCGGATATTGACTTACTGCAGTGACAAAGCATTTTTTGACAGAACGGAGGGTAAAGTGCAAAAATGAGTGAGAGAAGAGGAGATTAATGACAGGAAGAGAGTAGAAATGGATGGCGCTCAGGGATGCTGCTGACAGTGCGGCGACCGTGCCGTTCCTTCTGCTCTCGCTCTCCTCTCAGCCTCTGACCCACACCTCTGCTGCAGAGTCATGCCTCTGGGCCAGAGCACTGTACTGCATCGGCGATCGAGGGCTGCAGCCACGACCAGCTTCCAATCGACAGTCCTAGTGGCTCACGCTAAGGCGTGACTGACGTTCAGTTGTGAGCGATGCATTGTAGAGGCAAAGTGATGACAGTCCCCCACCTTCAGTCATCAGCTCACTAACGGCATCCAGGATGTCTTAAATCAAAGGGTGTGGATGAGGCTCGTTGCCTCATGCGGCTGGGCCGTGACATTTTGCGTAAGAGGACGCCCCGCCCTGAATGAGGTTAACCGGGAGTGTGCTTCGCCTCTGTAATACACATACACACACACACACACACACAGACAAACACACACGGGCATGCGCTCCACATACAAACAGCCCACTCACAACATACTCGCACTCTGAGCTACAGCACTAAAGGGGCGCATCTTCCTAACAATCTTCCCCCGAGGTCTGCTGTTATCTACTCACAGCACACTTACAACCACAGTGACAGACGCTACTGGGAGCTATTTCAAGAGATGCCAGTGATGATGTCATCTCAGCATATACACAAACACACACGCACACATCTTCACTGACCTAGATCACAGATAAGAATGACCGCCTACATAGATGTTTCTCGTTTCTTTTTGCCATACAAAAATTGCTCAGGAAACCAGATGAGCACAACAGAGAGAAACATAGAAGTCGGGATGTGTCCGACATATTCATCTATTCGTTTTGAGACACAAAAAGTAGAATGAGAGCTAATAAATAGCAAATGAACCCGATTTTATCACTGTACCATCAAGGAAATCTATGGGGTGCTCAGTTTAGAATTCCGTCACATCACGCCAATTTATAGCTTAAATCAGAGCGCACCATCAGTAACCTGGGCTAACATAATAAGATGACAAGTCAATATATGAAAATCACTCTTAGGACAGGAATATACTTTAGAATTTACCGTTGCACAAAACTGAAGCACCACACTTTTATCACATGCTGTATTTAAACACTTTCGTTTTTTTTTCATCATAATCCAATTCAGCGAGATATTGCCGCAACAGTGTCCGGTGTAACACAGCTGGATAAAACACTTGTCAGGCTGTGACAAATGCGTTCAACGAAACAGTACGGATGAAAAGCGTTTCAGCTTTTAAAGTACCTCAGTTACTTTTTCACATTAGGTCAGTAACTTGCCCTCCACTGTTCGCGGCCGACGAGGCTAAGTAACATGCATAACCAATGCATGGAACTGTTTGGTTTGGGACTGCGCTCTTTCTAGCATTAGCGGTAATGAGTGTTTTCGGCTTTTCTGAAAAGCATGCCACGGTCTTTTATTACCATACAGTCATCAACAATTCGAGCCGATAATAGCAATTATTGTGCATGTGTGCAAACCGCAGCGGAACCAGCAGCGAGCGACGAACAGGGACACAATGAAAAAGGCCCGTTGTGAGGGAGATGAGAGCAGCAGAAAGCAATCTTGGGAGGTTTGCCTTGAGTCACTTGTTTCTACGTTGTTATGAATACAGGCTACGCTGAACTGTGTAATTGGTTTTGGATCTTTCTACCTGTCACGCTCTACGTCATCTTATCTCATCTTATCTGTGAGGCGGCAGACACCAAACATATACTGGACGACGTGCAACTGTGTTTTGGGAGATCAGACTGACAAGTTGGTGAGTGGGTTCGTGCAAAAAAGCACTCTGGTAACACATTTAATGATTAACAGCAGAGAATTACAAAGGAGTGCTGATGTTGAGATGTGACAAATGTACAAAAGGCAGTACTCACTGCTAAGTTGGCCCTACATTGAGAAAATTTAATTAAAAAAAACAATTGGCTTAATGCAGGTGGTCAAGCCTTACTAGAACATTGGTGTCAAATGAAACATCAGCGCTTTGTAATGCTATGGTAGCACAAGAGTGGCTCAAACAAAGAGGTCGATGTAAAATTCTTGTCGGAATAAATAAATCAAAACATAAATATTGATGTCGAGCACAAGGTCAAAGCGCCAGATCTGACTTTGGATTCAGACGTGCATCAACATTTAATGCACTCTTATTTGGGCGCAATATATCTCTCGCTGACATTTCACTTTAATCAGTGTAAAAGTTGAAGGAAAATCCTGCAAATAAGCATCAAGCAGACACACAGGAAGCAAATCCGACACCGTTACACAACTTGGCCTCAGTGCTCGATTTGCTGCCCATTAGCCGACACCATTTTCGCCTCAGGGAGTGATAGCCATATGAACGGCATCTATTTTACAAGGGTGGTATATCAGGTGGTGGGCTTCTAGGTTTACTACCTGGCCAATAGTTGCGCTAGCCTCCTGGCACATAGCTGCCAACCAACGAGGCGTTGCTCCATAAACAAACCGCAAGAGGACTCCCTCTCAAAAGTTAAGGGGAAGGCGGTAAAGGAAGGGGGGCAGGGGAGGGGGAGGTCGTGGGGGATAAAAAGCAAACGGCCCCTTTGGGATTAAACACCTCGCCAATGTTACAAGTCGCTGACCTGAATGAGATCAAGATTTCAGAGGCCAGCTGAGGCTTTGCAGGAAAGAAAGAACCAAAGCGCTGTTAAATAATTAGGAAGACGTGAAATTGTCCAGCACAGCAACGCACTACTTTCTCAACGCTTGAAAAAACATTCCACTTCTGGCGGGTTATGGCCATTCCCTCAAGACAACATTTTCAAAAGGTCAACATGATAATTTTTCTTTTCTCTGAATCATGGCTCCGTAGCCTACTGAATTCCCACAGTTTACGAAACAGGCAGCATCTTGCGTGATGCATCACAGACATGTCCCATCTCCTGAATCATTGAGAAAAAGGAGATGATCCGGAAATTCAATGCACCCATCTTCAACAGAGCAAGAATGAGATAAAAACCATCCATCCGTTTGTTTTCAATGGGCGTATTGTCATTAGGATCACGGCTCAGCTGACTTTGGGGAAGAAACGAGGTGCACCCTGGACTGGTCGCCAGCATATCCCAGTAATAAGTGAAATCTTTTGTCGGAAAAATATGCCACAAAGTTAAAGAGGTAAGAGAACGACGGATGGATGAATAGGTGGGCAATTAGAGAATACAATACAATACAATCAATAGATTATAGTTTGGTTGTAGCCAGGCATGAACCTGTTACCAGTTCTGTGGTTTTAAAAAACAGTGGTTTCAAAAAGTGCTCCGACAGCAGTATAATTTTTCTTTTCCATTTTTTTTTTTTTGTGCGACATGACTACAGGCAAAGTGACACGACCTCTCCCCTTCCCGATACTGAAGCAAACAGTCAGTGAGCCCTAAGACTTTCCCCCTCAAAAAAGTCGTATCTTCTGGGAATTTTCCGGGTACTGCAACTAGGTAGAGGAATGATATGCAAAACTCTGAATCCGATATACAAGCCCATACTTAGTTGGTTGACTTGGTGGATGACTGGATGCACGGATGGATTAATGGTCGGTTGGACGTTGTTATTAGTGGATGGATTGGTGGATGGTGGGACAGATGGAGAGGTGGCTACATGGATGCATAATTGATAGGATGAGGTAAATTGGGGAAAATGGGACAGCTGAATAGGTGGTTGCTTAGATAAAAGGATGACATAAAAAATGGATACACCACGCATGGACGCATGGATGCAGGTGATAAGGTAACGGTTCAGTTGTGTTTGGAGAGGCAGGGGGATTTCGTGGAGGGCAAGAGGAGGCTGTGACTCGGAAAAGAAGCTCAACTGTGGAGAATGAAGCGGAAAGCCGAGAGAGAGAGAGCGATAGACACAGAGAGAGAGAGAGAGAGAGAGAGAGAGAGAGAGAGAGAGAGAGAGAGAGAGAGAGAGAGAGAGAGAGAGAGAGAGAGAGAGAGAGAGAGAGAGAGAGAGAGAGAGAGAGAGAGAGAGAGAGAGAGAGAGAGAGAGAGAGAGAGAGAGAGAGAGAGAGAGAGAGAGAGAGAGAGAGAGAGAGAGAGAGGGAGATGTCGAGGGATAGAAGATGAGGGGATCATTTCTGGCAGTGTAATCGAATCAGAGAGTCAGCAGACCTATCCTTGGCTTGAACACTGAATTTTTTCATCTTTCTTTCTCACGTACGTCTATTCCTGAGCTCTTATCACAATTTGCTCTCTCTGGCTAAAACTTTTTCCGTCAATATCTTGAGTCACCCTTTGCTCCTGAACTGCACCAATACAATTATATTCTTTTGTCTTTTTATTCTGCTGCAGTCAGGTAATGAGCCAACCCAGGGGGCTTTAAAAGAAAGGCAAGCAAAAAATGGAGGGAGCTTCAAATGAAATTGCACTGGTGTCTGAGATTCCAAGGAAAAGGCATGACCGAGGTGACTGCCAATGGAGGAAGGCAATGAAGATCTATAAGTAGAAGTCCAAAATGAGGTTATTGGAAAAGTGCGCTGATTTGAACAGTCAAAGCTGCAGAACACGTCCACTCCTGTCTTGTTGCGGTTGAAGTTTAGGGCTTGGTTGAAGTTGTGGCCAGATTGTTATGTCAACTCACAACCAATTCAGCGTGGTGCTCCTCCTGCCAGGTTGTCAAGATTGGTCAGAAACACCTACAAGTTGCCTGGAGTTGTTTCTGGCAGTGGTACACCCTGAAAATAAGCTCCCATTGGGATGGTTCCCACGAAATGAGGTAAGGGGCTGCCCAAAAACAGCCGCTGCAGCTCCGATAAAGGGACACCTGTGGTCGGTGGTGGCTTGCTTGATTTGTGAGGATGGAAAATAGAGATCTGTGGGTGGGTGCTATGATGTCCCTTTAACACCCACTGAGGTGAACTGGACTCTCTGATGAGTTGGCCCTCTCTTCAAATTCACTGGTTCCGGTTTATCACACAGATTGCCAAGAAGCAACCCTATCTTTGTTCTCTGCTTACCAAGCATACCACCACCCATTCTCTCCGTTCCAGCAGTTTTATTGACTTCATCGTTCCCATAGTCCACACAACTGCTGGTCGAACTCGACAGTGTACCCAATAATCTCACGAATGCTCCCAATTTTTCAGTGTGCTTGTAAAAATATAATCCGGTCATGCAGCACGATTGCGTGTTTTAATGCTCCTATCGTTTCATTCAGCGATAGCGCTCCAACTCTGTATCCATCTGTCAGACTGCACACAGAAGGCGGAACGTGTAAATTAAATAAATAAGTATCCAAATCTGGATGTGTACTTTGCGACGCTAACGGCAATCTAACTTCATGACCTCTATTTGCTTTATCAAGGACGACGCTACTCCTTTCAGCTCGCTCCCCTTCACTGAAACGCTCGCAAACTACTCTGCATTTTGGCCATGGAGACTGCGGATGCTTGTATTTTCATTGGTACAGATGGATTTCTAAATACTGTTGGGTACTACTGTTGTAAAACACAATATGTATATGGCTGGTTGGGTCACCAACTATCAATATATAGTAAAAAACAATATTTTGTTGTCCTAAGACCTTAAATTGTGGATATAAATACAAATATCAGTAGTGTGTACATTTTAAATCTTTTTTGATGAGACCCTTTGTAGCGTGAAGAATGTTGTTGGCCACCCTGAGACATACAGAGCTATTCTGTAGCGTTGAGATGATCACACAAGAACAGATTTACATGTTGCTGATGCACTGCCATGGGTATCTGTCTGTTTAATGTCTGCGCGGTCAGGTGAGCGTGAGAAAAGTGCAAAGTCACCATGCTGACATATTTTAGCCAGTCAGCAACAACCGTGGACCCCTCTGGGACACCAGCATCAGGCCTCCCCTGCCCGGAGCTATGAAGAGAGGAATAAAAGAGCTCGAGGTACAAGCAACTCACCTGCACAAGGAGCTCCAGCTTCCTGTCATCCAGGAGATGGACCTGACATCGCCTCCCCTCCGTCATCTGTGAGACAGAAGATATACTGCTCAATATTTGTTGATATTTAATCACAAAGAAAAAAACGCATCCTATCCAATGATCCAATCACCGTCTGTCAAACTCTCCTCAGTCATAACAAGGTTAGATCGCTGCTGTAAAGACACAATGGCTCAATTCAGCCATGTGATGACGGACCTTTCCAGCAATCCCTCTTTTGAGCAGGAAAAGCAGCATCAATCAAAGCATTAACTACAGCGACCACAATGAGGGTGGCCGATTGTGATGTTTGAATTGTTGATGCAATGCTTTGCTGAATAGAGCTGCCAAGTCCATAAACACACAAGCAGGTGCAACAGCGAAATAGTGTGGGAAACACCACACACACACACACACACACACACACACACACACACACACACACAAGCACTGTACAAGCTCAACAATCCATGTGGTAGACAAAACTGAAATAAAGCCATCCAAACATGTCTGCGCATTTCAAAATTCACACGAGTTAGAGTTGAGATGTACAGACTGCTTGGGGATTAGTTGAATATTGTTGAATTTGTGTCTGATACTTGAGAATGCAGTCGTGTGTCGGACTTTGTTATTTTCTCTCGGTTTCTCGGCGTTCACTGGGCTCGTAAATTGACGACTTAGTGGTATTGTCAGGTAGTTGTCATGCAGTTATATAATTTCTACAGAGTTGTGCTGCTTTTCGCACCTGCGCTCTATTCCACAGACGTATGTAGCAACTGTATGTGTGACTGAGCAGCTTATCCCAATGGTGTTAGGCTCTTTTCGAAACACGGTGGAGATCAAAATAAAGTGCTTTTACACCATTTGAAAAAAAAATCTGGTCTTTTTTTCCAACCTTTTTCCCCCCAGTGTCACTCTTCTGCATGGAGGGCACCAACATGGAATGGTGGGGCGGGTTAGATGGGTCTGGCAATTTTCCACCTTCCCAGGTAATATCAGAGCCAATATAGAGGCGGGCAACACCTTTAGTTTCTTTCACACTAGCTATTGAAGGGGGCATTTTACTGGTTAGCTGCTGTGAGTAAGGAAACGATGCAAGATAACGAAATGGGGGTTTAAGTCCATTGACTAATTTGATAGTTTCACAGTATGAGAAGCATGAGAATTTAAAGTTTAATTCCAGCAACTCACTGTCCGCATTCCTTTGTGCCGAAAGCAGCTGTGGCTGCTACACATCAAGTTATGCTGTATAAACACACAACGGCTCTGTAAATCTACTGATGGGCCAGTTTATTGGAAATGGCCGCCTGAAAGCCTGGGTGTGAAGTTCAACACCTGACACTCACTTCTCGACCAACTTTTTGTTGAACCCACACAGATAAGGATCTGTCATCATAAACACTGAATGATGCACTGTCCAGATTTCTTTGAGCATATCGGGGAGGAAAACTCACTTTTAACACACACCTGGGGATAATCGCTCAGATCAGGGAGGATAAATCACTCTTAACACAACCCCACATATTTCAGATATATTTTACAAACAATCCTTTAATGATTTTGATAGACAAATTAGGCTTGATTGCCAGTATGGGTGCAGCCCACTTAAGAAACATTGGAGAAAAACGTTGTTAAGTTCCAAAACTTAGCAGCCACGTACACATGCAAAACGGGTTTACAACTTCCAACCACAAGGGTCACGCTGGGAGCACTTAGCAGAGTGGAGAGGGTGTGTCCACAGCATGGTGCGGTGGTGGGGGGGTAACAAACGCACTTTCTCAGAGCAGCTTGCACCGGAGTGAGCCATAAAGGGAAAATACACTCATGCACCATGCGAACTGTTCCAACATGTGCGGCTGCCTTGCGCTTTCAAGCCTCAGCTGACCCCGCCCACTCGCCACTGACTGATCCCCTGTGGTTTGAGGTCTTGGATGGGGTGCACCTGTGCACACAAACACATTTATTTTCCAAACCTTTTGCTTTCATCTTGGATTTGGCGCTCCATGTTTACACTGTATACAAGCCATTTTAGTTTGGGCTACCTCGGGGAATGTGATTGTGACAACAGTATGGCATTGTCGCCAGCCACATGTTATTAAACATCTCACACAACGAACAGTTGAAGTTCTGCCGTTTAAGCATGTATTCCATCTCCTTGCTTTCCAACTTACTGGAAATATAACAGCAACAGTAATGGGGTTTTTTCCACTACTCGTGCCACTTTTGACCTACAAGTATGCAATTAAACTTTAGTAGTAACCTGTTCTGGTGCACTTGTAACACGACTAGCCTCCTGGACCAGGCTAGTCATTTTGCTTCACCAGTAACATAGAATTGACCTACGAGTAGGCCAAAGCTGTCTTACTGGGGTGCAGAAATCTCATACAGTAGTGGAAACATACTACAGTATGAGTAAGACCCAGTTGTTCAACTCGTGTGCTAAACTGTTTGATGGACCTTGCTCGGTATCAAGCTCTGGAGTCTATGCTAAAAATGGATTTCCAACAGACCCACAAAACACAGAGTGACCAAGAATAGTACGAATGCGACAAATTACCACTTTAGAGAGTCTTTATTTTAAGGCCTGGGACAAACACTTTTTTGGCTTTTGTTTTGTGGCATTGGACAAACACTGCTTAGCCTTTTTTTTTGCACCCCCCAAAAACAATAAAGTCCAAAAATAGAGCCAAGTGGAAGAAGAAGAAAAAGCAACGTGGAATATTTGAGCCATACTAGGATGGAAGGATCAAAATCTAACACCAAGAGGAGAGGTGAGCATGTCAACACAAGTCACACACACAAGCAGCAGCGGTTCAATATATCTCAACCTGGGTGATGATTAATCAGCATTTTTGTCAATTTGACTCTGTAGGTGATGCTCAGCCAGCGCTGGCAAATACTCAATTCAAACATTACCTTCAATGCGCTGCGTGAGGCTCCCACGCACAAAAAAAAAGAAAAAGAAAAACGACTCCGAGTTGCTGCGGGGGGGCTTTCACAAGAAAGAAAAACAGTCAAAGTATTATTATTATTAGTCCGAGAAAGAAACGAGTCGCACGACAGGCAGACAAGCGCCCAACAGCAGCCGTCCCGAAGGATGAAGAGGAGACACGTCCGCATCCATGTTGGGGGTGACAACTGACCAGCAGATTCCACTGACAACTGTCTCTCTTCCGTAGCTGACCGTCTGCCTCCCCCCCGCCCGGACGCCGCTCGCGGAAGGAATAACCCGGCTAACTAGCAGGCTAGCTTCCCCGGCTCTCATTCCTCCATCTCCACCTCCAGAAGCCTGAGGATGATGAGAGCTCCCTCCACTCTTCCTCTTTCCCTTCCTCCCTCTCCTCCCCTTCCTCAAGCCGCCACCGGCGTAAACGGCACAAACCAGCTCGGAGCAGCGGACTGTACCAAGTGACAAATAGGAGAGGTGGACAAGGGGAAACTCGGTTAAAATGAACTCGCAAATTTGTGTTCCAGTGTGTCTTCTAACCGGATTGTTTGGTTTGTGGCGGTACAAAACGTAAGAATAGTGGAGGAAATATGTCAAAGGGGGAGAAGGAAGTGTGTGGCGCTCGTGTCACCCTCCTCGAAGATTCCCATTGGCTTCGCGCGTGCGCGGCATCCTCGCGTCTCCAGTCAAAACATGTTAATTCATGAATAAATTCAGTCATTCATACAGTAGCACACATGGTCACTTGTTTGCTCTCGTTGACAGTCACACTTGCAAGGAATTTGACCACTGCGGCACCTTGATTTAGGAGAATAATTCGTCCTGGGATAAAACTCGTTAATCAATGGTCCTTATATTGGAATAAACTGAAATGGCATTCATCCATTTGCAGCCCCACAAAACACCACCATTTCATGGTTACATATTTTTAATAAAGAAAAGCAATTTATTGCATTAAACACAATAAAAGAGAATTAAATAAACGTCTACTGCATTATAATTTCTGAAGATTATTGCATTTGTATTGAAGGATTATGATAATACAATCAGTAAAAAGTGAACGGCAACATACGAGGTTTGCAACTCAAAGATATGTCACAAAATCACAGAGGCAGTTCAGCTCAATTAAATGTATGCCCAGTTTAGCAAACTCAATGCCCGGGGGCCAGATCTGGTCAGCGACATAATTTTATGTAGCCTGTGAAAGGACACCAAGCATGTCAACTTCCATGATGCTTGCTAAAATCTGTACCGAAATTTCAAATCTTATATATTATTGTTATTGTATAACAACTCGAGTACTACATCCCTGCATTGAGTAACACAGAACTTCAACGGGTCAAATTGGGTCAGACAAACTCCAACTTGTACATTATTCAAGTGCTGTGGCTGACCTGCGGGTTTAGCATTACATTTTGCAAATGCAGACCGGGACAGACTCTTGTATGTTTCTCATGTTCAAAACAGAGTTCTTGTAGGCTGAAATGCTGACTACCTACCTCTGGTTTTAGGTATTTTCTACAGAAAATTGTGAGACTAAGTGGGTTTTCAAATCAGCCGGGGTTTATGGTGCTCTTATACAAAGTACAGGTTTTCATTTCCATACACAGACCAGGGAAAAATAATGCCGCTTCCAAATGGATTGGTTTGCACTGCCTGGATTTCGCCTTTCTCCATCCCGCCGCTTCCTGTCTGCATGCCACCAACACAAATCTCCTTCCTCGGGCTCGCCTTGCCTCAATGATTTTTTTCTGGCCCTCGGCGCTCACGCAACCATCACACTCACGTTCCGGGAAGCCAAATTGAAAGCTCGTGTTCACCTGACGCTGGCCGAGCAGCAGCTGTTGAAACCACAAAGTTGTTAACATAACACAATCAGCTCCAGTTTTTGGTACCAAAAATAGACACGGCCTCTGAGAGGCATATTTAGGTCCCTCTGCCTTTGTCTACTATTTATAGAGTAAAAGAAATTTCTGACAGTATTGTGTGTACCTTGAGCTATGACATATTGCAGTCTTAGTTTTAAACCCGCCAAAGTAACAGTGTAGCCATGCAGAATGTGCATGTTTTTTAAATTATATTCTAGGGATCCTGTATTCAACAGGTGCAGTTCTGGAAATGTACTTTTTTTAAAAATGAAGCAATTCTCCAATGGTACAACATTATGAACTTTTGAGTAGTACAGTGACATAGATGTCTGCCTCACAGTTCAAGAGTTTGGTGTTCACATTTCTTCTCTCTGTGCTTGTGTGAATTTTTCTTTCCCAAAACATATTTTGTTAAATTGAGGGCTCTAAATTTTCCACAGATGTGAACGTGAGTACTGTATAATGCAAATAAGATTGCATAACAGTTTAAAAATCCTGGTCTTGAAAATAGGGCATCCTCTTATAAAGTGCCTGAGAATGGAAAAATAAGTAGATTAAATATTAAAGAAACAAGCTTGAATGAGGGCATTTTGAGTTGCTCCATCAACAACCTTTGCAAAAATAGCTGGAAAAAAATCAACACATACAAACTAGCAAGTACAATATTATCAGTTTACCTTCAATTTGCAAAGCAGCTCTGAATTAACAATGTGATTGAATCGAATGACATGGGAGCAGTTACAACACAGGCGACCGCTTTGTGTTTTACCGCTGTACAATGACAACCGTTGTAATGACCAGAAAGACCGCAGATTACGTTAATGCTACCGCAGCCCCTTAGCCGCCTTCCAAAAAACTTCCACTGGCAAAATTACAAAATGTTTGCTCCATCCATCCATCCATCCATCCATCCATCCATCCATCCTTCCACACACTTCACTGGTTGCCAGTCATTTACAGGCCAGATAATCGGCCCTATTTTCTTGGACAGGTGCACATGTGCTTAGTGTAAAAAAATGGCGCAGCTTCATTTTTCTGCCAGGGCAGGTCTCTTTTACCATGTTTGAGAATTTGGCCGACTACATTAAGCCTTTCTGTGTGTTCCGGAAAGTAGACTACACTTAAGACCAAGTCTAAGTTGTGGCGTAGTGTAATGTGATTTTGGTGGATTTGATCCAGACGGAGTAAGAATTTAAACCGTGCGCCTCTCCTGTGCTGAATTTAAAGAGAATGAGGGAAGCCACTTTGATTGGCCAGGAATGAAGGAATCACTCCAACAACGGCACCAATGGAGATTTTTGACTGTGCCCGTCTACGAAAAAACGGAAAAAAAATGACCCTCAACCCATGCTCATAGTTAGACTGCACTTTGCACTAGACATGAAAATAGGAACCTCGGACACAGACAACCATTCACAGTCACTGTCACATGGAAGTCAGGCAAGTGAACCACTCCACCGTCAGTGATAAACCTCTGTTCTATTTGATCCAAAACAATGGCTGCAAGTCGACATTCATTTTTGCTGAGTTCTAGAATGTCACTGGATAAGCAAAAGGCGGTTTTTACTCTCTACCCCACTTCCAAATGCACTCTTACCGGATTTTTATGTTTCTGGATATTTTTGGCCTCTCCCAGACACCGGATACTGCGTTGTCCAACTTAAACATCTCCAGATGAGTCCTTTCCCCTGCTTTAACACAAACACCCATTCCTGGTTTTTCCCTTTCCCCTCAGTTATATACATATCTGCCATCATTGGTTACTTCCTCTGTTTGCCATCACAAAGGCCCCGGTTGTTTGACTGAAACGAGGGAGGGAAGTGCAAAAGGAGACAGAAAGGGCTGACATCGACAAAGACACATTGGGGGAGAGACCACGCAAGAACTACGAGAAGCACACCCTAAACACTTTCCCTTCAGGAGTTTATGAATACATGTTCAAAACGGGAGGAGTGCTACTGAACTAAAGCGGGGTACACGTATCATTTTAACAGTCGTAATTTTTGAAGTGTGTATGTTCAGCTTGCGTTCCGAACATTACGTGAGTAAAACCAGAAAACAGGTGAGCCGAGACTTTCGTAATGTGAGCCTGAGGGCACGTTCATATTAATTTCACTTGACAGCAGAGGGTGCTATAGCACAAAATGGCAGTGCCCGAACATTGATAGAAATGGACGGAGTCATCTGATCAATTTGTATTCTACAACCGCATTATTCATCAGAATACTGTGTTTTGACTAAAGGGGGGGGGGCACATCGAACATCATAGTGCAAAGATTTAAAAAAAAATTTTTTTGCGTTCTGTTCACCTTTAAGCGTGTACCTAGCTTAGGAGGGTAAACATCTGCCATTTTCATGTGTCACACCTTCCGTGAACCTCAAAGTTTGCCAAAAAATACAATATGGTGAAACACTTGAATAGGTGTGACCTATTTGGGCAAAGACCTGTGATGATGGTGAGGTGCGGTCTTAACGACGTGCTGATGGGAAGCGATCTGGATGGCGGGTATTAGGCACAGAAAGGGATGGCGTGCACTCCAAAAGGTAACCTACATTGGCTGCAATTTGATATAAACCGGCCCTGAATGCTAATTGAAGCAAGCTGGGGGAGTCTCTTTGTCACCAACACACAACCTCGGTCATCTCACGAGACTAAACAAAGCGTGGTCTTACTCAGACAGACACATGATGGTTGGGCATCAAAGTGACACCGAACACCCCACTCTCATTGTTGTTGCGAGCACTCAACAACAACAACAACAACAACAACAAAATCTACTTAAGTATAGTAATAGAGTATTTATATGTCTTTGTTCAAACCACGAGAAAGTATTAGCATCTCCTGGATGTAAAGCACTAGGTTTGAGACTGCGCAGGGAGGGTCACGCAAAGGCAGACAGGAATGTCTCGAGAATCCACTGACCGGGAGCGATCTGTTTTGTTTGCTCAAGTGTGTGTATATGTGTGCGTGGGAGTGCGTTTTTGTGTGTGATTGTGAGCTCCACCCGTGCGCCAGTGACTGAACTTTGAGGGTGAAATGTGGTTCCAGTTAGGGGTTTTTTTCTCCTTCTTTTTTACTTCTTTTTTTTCCCCCCTCAAATCAGAACCGCGCTGTGACACTTCAAACAAATAGGAGATATTTCCAACTCTTTGTTCTTGTTTTATTTGAATGCGACATTCCCAGACTTTATACCCCCCCCCGAAAAAAAAACAAATTAATAAAACTCACATTTATTCCCGAGAATCCCAATTTAGCCTCCAACTGATAGATTTGATGAAATAAGACCAGCACTTTTATGGACAAAGAAATGTGACTTGTGGTTGTTCGGCAGGCAGTGAGCACATAAAAACGTTTAGTGTTCCTACACTAGTTTCTGTTGTGATCCACTTGTTTTTCTGCAGTGTTTTTTTTTTTATTCTCAAATTCATCTTGCCAGGCTTTTTCATGTTTCTTGGACGGGTTGTCACTGTTTACCATGACAATGGCATTTCAGTCAATCAATCTTGAATCTG